AGATATGGATGAGAATAATTCAAAATGAGCATCATATAATAATGAAAGAGATAACGATGATGGAGTATATACGTACAGGTTTGATGTGTGATATGGGACAAATATACAAATACAAACAAACACAAAAAGGACAAATAGGAATGGCGCATATATACATATATATAACACATTGCAATAAGTCGTGCACATAACAATGAATATATATACATATATATATATATATATGATATATGAAAACACACACCTAATCCATTTTCAAATAAATAAAAATATTTTTATAAATATTTAAATCATCTTGTTTATTTCAGATTATGCCACATACATGTATATGGAGTCTTTACATAGTACATAATGATTATGTGTGTGTGTGTGTGCTCTATTTAATTTTTGAGCGAGGATTATGACTAAATCCAAAAAAGTTGCTGTGAATTTAATAAAAATATTAAGTACTATCTCTGGTCCATAATATAAGACAATATTTGACTTTTATTTTGACCCTAAATATAATATCCCAATCCACTTTGTTTCTCATATTTACTCAGTTTTTTCCAAAATAGCCCTTCTAATAATTATAGTTCTAGCCAATACACTTGATTAGCAAGGATATTTTAGGAAAGACAATACCTATTTAGGACAAATAACTAACTCAACTTAATTCCTTAATCTTCTCAAATTAGTCAACTTGCTCTTATAATTAGAACTGGAAGTAGTATTATTTAGAGCCTTTGATCACGTACCTGCGCACACAATAACAAGAAGCTACATTTTTCACGACGAAAGAAGAATGAAGGTCATTTGCGACCTTTGATTGTTGATAATCACACGTCCAATATATATGTTGTTAATGGTTTACTGGGAGAAAATTATTTTTAGAAATTCCGAAGGCCTGAAGTTTTCATCTAATAAAAAGAATATTTTAATTGAAATGATTAAATTTACTCGTATAATCTTTTGTTCTTTTTTTTTTACCGGGGTATAATCATTGTTCGAAGCTTAACTAAGTTGTTAATAAAAATAATTGACTGTTGCATATACTTGGATTTGCATGATTATGCATTAATGTTATTGCTGGCAGCTTCTTTGATTATATATATAATCATTTAAACCATGATTCACCAAAAGCTTGAGCCTTAATACTCTAACAAACTAATTAAACTTCAATAATTAATTAGTTGGTTCACAATGATTATTCATAGTTTACTTTACTTATTATACACGCCCCAACTTGTTCAATCAAACATTAATTATACGGCTGATGTTAATTTTGAACGTCACAAGAGAGAATTATGAATATACATGCATGGGTAAGGCATATATTATGAATAATTATGAATATTTGGCATGCATGCATGCATCCATCTTAATATATATATATATATATATATATATATAAATTAAGGCATATTTAAAGTAGCCAATAATTCAGTTGAGATAACGGTGATTTTTTTTTTGCCAACGGGTAGATAATTAATTAATCAATAACGGTGAAATTCCATAGATAGTAAATACGTTTACTGAATTATTGTAATTAATTAAGAGAATAAGTATCAAAGTCAGAGTTAAATTCTAAAAATGATAGAACAATATACTCTAAAACGTTTTCAAAATTATTGTCTACGCGATAATTCCTTGTGTGTGTGTGTGTGCGCGCGTAAAGTGACACTTTAATTTACACTCTTTTCAATTGGTAAATAGATTAACACGATTTGTTATATATTTTATACTTTATTTGATATTGTTTATAAGTATTTTTAACATGTTTTATCGCAATTAAAAAAATTCAAAACGTATTATCTATATAAAATTTTTAAAAGAAATTATCGTGTTTCTCATATAAGATGCACCATTAAAAAAATTTCTTACTTCTTACATTAACGTTGAATAGGGATAAAAAGGAAAAAAATTATGATAAATAATTAATATATATAGTGTCTTTTAAAAATAGTGACAAATTTATCTTTTAAGTGCCTTATAAATAGTATCAGATATAATATTGAAGATGATGCACATGAATTGCTTTCACTCCTTTCTCAGATTATATTTTTAATCTATATAAAAAGCATATAGAGTTAATTATAATGTGTGATACCTACGAAATGGAAAGACAAAGACAGTGATATGTGTGTCTAGAGCATATAGAATAATAATGAATTAAAGCAGAGGTACTTAATTAATTATCAAGTTGGTGTTTAAACTCAAACAAGTTTAATTAATTATTATTCTTAAGATTTTGGATTGACTGGGCTAATCATGACTGTGGGATTCTCCAACACAAGCATCTCTCTGCAATCACTTTCCTAAAATGTTCCAATCCATTCATCATCTTTATTTATTATATATATGTCTCTCTCACACACACGCAATAATTGATTTTCTTATTAAAAAAATTGAACTGGAATGTAAATATTATTCTTTGTTTAATTTGGAATTTAAGGTGATTCATATCGTCAATTATATTCTGGTAAAAAAAAATATTGTCAATTATAACTTCTGAATTGTTGTTGAAGTCTATACTAGTTTGATTTATCGGTTTAGATTCAAATATTATCGTTGATGTATATATCACATAAAATTAAAAAGGATATATTTATATGCATGTTCCTATAAATTGTATGATTGAGCTTTTTCATTTTGGATTCATCAGCTACGTTGAGATTGTTATTTTCTTCCTTTAATAAATGGGCTGTGTGACTTTTTGTTCTTGATTAATATTATTATTATTATAGTCATTTTTGTTTGGTCATATATAGCACATATTTAAACAAAGTAAATCTAAACAGGTCCCCTACTACTTTTGATGTGGAAAGTGGGCATGTTTTTTCACAATAAAAATGCAATTTTAATTTAGAGTACTGGTTTAGATACTAAGTTGGAGAGAATTTTTTTTTAAAAAAAGGAGAGTAATTTTAGACTAATTAAATTAAAATTGAATAATGAAAATTTTAAGAAGAAAATATTAAAATAAAAAAAAATCAAACCTATATCTTTTATTTGAACGATTAAGTAACTATTGAGAGGTATAAACAAAGATAACAGAAAGCATTAGAATGAACTATATATACACAATCTAGCTTGTGTATTATTTCTTCATAAATTGCCAACTAACCCCTACATTACTAAAAAATGGCCGCATGTGCCGCACTTTTCCCCGTTTCTCCTTTTCGATCAGTTTCTTTAGCATTCCGTATAGTGGTATTTACACTTGTGTAACTATTCAGCAATAAGCATTTATTTTATTCCAACTTTTCTCATACTTTGCCAAAACATTTTCTACACATTTCAACAGAGTTTAATTAAATGCTAGTAATTTAATACAGTTAAAAAATAATTAAACTATCATCTAACCCATACATTACAGGAAAACACACAAATATAGTACATGGAGAATGGTAATAGGGGATTTCTTTTTAAATTGTATCTAAAGTAATTTAGAGATATATTGTCGCTAAAATAAAAATAAAAATAGTCCCTGCTCAGGTAATTAAAATTTAAAAAACATGGATCATCGGAGCTTAACGCAAAATTGATAATTCTGTTAGTTTTAAATAAGGCCGATGGACACATACAAGCATAAATATTTTCACAAAAAAAGTTATAATCCATCAATATATGAATTTCTTATAAATCATATATCATGAGTTTTAAGTAGTAATTTTTTTTAAAAAAAATATACAATATAGTGAAAAATATGTGGGTATCAAATAAATAAATTAAACATAATAAAATTACAGGTAGATCTGATTTGTAATGTGTGCCTGTGAATAGTTTTGCACTGACTGAAAAGATTTTCAAAGGGAAAATGATAATGATGAAGACTGGCGCCGTACAGTAAATATCTAGGGGCTTTCAACAATATTGACAAGATTACGAACCTCACCTGCAAAAGACAATATTGTTGCATTTTTTATTTTCTTTGCTTTTTACCCCTCCAAAGGAAAAGAAAAGGAAAAAAGGGTGGGTGGTTTGACAATAATACCCCTTGAAGGTGACTTTACATCCTCATTATCGCCTTTATAAAAAAGCTGACTCTACTGAAATTAATTGGAGTTCCTGCCCTGCGAGACCAAGCCAAGCATGGGGTCCTTTGCTCTCTTCCTAATGATATTACCCACAGCTGAGATCAAGCATGCATCCTCATTAACACTAATCATGCATCTTATGTATTTATCTGCTACTGGGAGTATATGAGTATTGAGAACCACAGGTAATATATGAGTATTAAATTAAATAAGCAAATTTATAAATCTCCTAAAATTTATGGTAATTTTTTTTAAAGATATATAATAATGCAGTAGATGTTATATATATGTTATGTATTATTCATTCATTTATACTTTTTTTTGGTTGAGCCTAGTGGATTTTCACCACCTGATAGTAATAACTAATCTCCTTATATCGTAGACTTTTTAAAAAATTTTTAATGCTCACTATAAGACTTTCTTCATATATACAGTTAGGAATCGAATACCTAACTAAATGCTTAAAAAACTAAACTAAATGCCTGTTACACCTCATATAGGCCATTCATTCCTACTTGTTTGTGAATAAAGATCACACATGGCAACTGTGATGGATAGCTGATAGCATTTAGGCAGTGGCGGAGAAATTTCGTCCAAAAAAACATCTAATCAAAGTAAATATTTTTTTAAAAAAAATCACTTTTTTGTTGATTTTTACCAGTATAACATAAAATCATTTCAGATAAGCTAAAACAAACACAGAGGAAGAGAGAGAGAGAGAGAGAGTGATTAAATACGGAAGCTTACGTGTGTATAGATGGAGGAATTTTGTGCATGCAAATCAGAAATTTTTACTGTGGCAATGAAATAATGAGAGGGTTTTGTTTCTTAGTGTTTTTTTTTTTTTACAAGAAAATAAATTATTTTTATAAATATGTTGTGGACCCATGAGAGCAGCTTGTGGGATCAAGTCTCGAGCTTTGAGATTGGTCTCTCAGCCTCTGTATGTCCCTCTCTCATATGGAAAGTTGATTGCCAAAGAGAGAGCTATTTAGAGACATCACCCGCTCAAGATGAGCCTCGCAGTTAAGCAAACCAGAGAGAGAAGAAGAAGAAGAAGACCAAGAAGATCGATGATGATGAACCAGAAAAGCTGAAAGTCTCTCCTCCTCCTCCTTCATCACCAAAAGTAATTTCAAAAGAAAGCTGAATCCAATCCGACCCCAACCATAAGCACCCAATTTAGCTCCCTTTTATATCCCACCCTAGCTAGCTGCCGTAGACCTAGCTAGCCTTTCGTTATCATCACCACGTTCTTCTTCTTCTTCTTCTTCTTCATCATCGTCTTCTCTCTCTAAATTAAACGCTCTCTCGCTCCTCCAACCTATTTCTATCGCCAACAAAAACCAGTCACTGAAATACTCACTATTATTGTATATCATGCTAGCGAATAATTCTCTTGCTTCGGTTCCTACTTCTGAGCCGCCCTTTGCTTGCGGCGATAATGGCACTGTCACGACGAATAAGAGAAAGAGAAGACCCGCGGGAACTCCAGGTAATTCATTTAATACGCACGATTCCGATACTGTTGATTGATTTTGTGTGAGGAATTCGAATGAATCGGAGAGAATTTTGGTTGCGCCGCCTTGTAGATCCGGACGCGGAGGTGGTGTCGCTGTCGCCGAAGACGTTACTGGAATCGGACCGGTACGTGTGCGAGATCTGTAATCAGGGTTTTCAGAGGGACCAGAACCTGCAGATGCACCGGCGGAGGCACAAGGTGCCGTGGAAGCTGCTCAAGAGGGAGACGCCGGCGGCGAGGAAGCGCGTCTTTGTCTGCCCGGAGCCGACGTGCTTGCACCACGACCCGTGCCACGCGCTCGGTGATCTCGTCGGAATAAAGAAACACTTCAGAAGAAAACACAGTAACCACAAACAATGGGTCTGTGAACGATGCTCTAAAGGCTACGCAGTTCAGTCTGATTACAAAGCTCATCTCAAAACCTGTGGAACCAGAGGCCATTCTTGTGATTGTGGTCGTGTTTTCTCCAGGTACGATCAATCATATATATATATATATATATATAGATCTATATATATTCACGTCTGTTTGTGTATCAAAGTAATTAATTTTGTATTGTCCATCGGTCTGTTTGTTTGATCGATTTCATCTGGTTTGGAATCTTATGATCAGCATTGATTCTGGTTTTGACTTGAAGAAAAGGAAAATGTATTTTAGAATTTATGTACTAAAAGAAAAGTCATAACATTTGACTGATGGAACCTCAATTAATCTTAAACTTTGAAGGGAAAACTGTTCATGGGCAGTTGTAAACACATTTCCCAAAGCTGAGGTTTTTTTTTTCGTTGGTCGCATTATAACTACTGTTTGGTCTCTCAAAATTCTTTCAGATATTTGTAACTCTAATAACAATAATTGCCTTGATCACTATTCTCTTCATATGCTTATATGAGCCTTGAGTTGAGAATTGAGATTAAATAATCAAATTAACGTTGGCCTTGGTCCTTGAGTTCTTGTCCTTGTTTTAGGTAGTGGCTCTCATTTCACGTTTGAAAAACCAGTGGACATGGCCGGCTTTTTTGGAAGAAGCAACTTTTGTAAAACACTTTTTCTTCTTTTTCTCTGAAACTCCGTAACCCCTCTTCTTCTAATAATAACCCTCCATTGTTGTCCTTGCATGTCTCTGCTACCTTTTATTATAATGCTCATCCTTATCCATATATTAAAGTTATATATATATATATATATGAGTGAAGTTGTTGATCAGATCATCGTCGTTTTTGGATGTGTAGGGTAGAGAGCTTTATCGAACACCAAGATGCTTGTAACATGGGGCGGCTCCGGACGGAAACACAGCCGCAGCCACCGCCGGCGTGCTTGTCACGGACGGCTTCGAGTCCGAGTCCGTCGAGTGAAACCAATTTCAGCACCGGTCCGAACTGGAATAATGGTCTGGTGTTGCCAAAGCCTCCTGAACCGGCGGCATTATTGTTGAACCCTACCATTAATAATACTGTTGTTCATGAAACCTCATCGAACAACAAGTATAAACTGTGTCCAAACTTGGATCTTCGGCTCTCCACTTCCAGTTCTATCATTCCCACTGATACCGAATCACCTAAGAGAGACGAACCGCGGTCAAATCGCTTTCGGATTTCGATCGGTTCGTCGTCGGAAATCGGCCAGAAAAATGAATCCAACTGCTTCAATAATAATCGCAGGAATTCACCCAAGGAGAGCTGTAACAGCAGCGATAAACCACAAGGTAAGCTTTTTATGTTAAAGCTGTCACAAGTCTTTTTTCAGACTAAAGCTTCTATAAATATGTGTGTGTGTGTGTGTAGTATGGGTCGTGTATTGTAAGCAATAATGGTCTTTTTAAAATAAGTGAAGTGAATTTCCCAAAAATAAGATTAATTTTTACATGTTAATTATTCTGCTTGACATTTAAAGGCATTCAGCTGATTTTGACCAAAAAAAAAAAGGCATTCAGCTGATGGATGATTAAATTAGGCTATATTTAGCACAATCAATAACATACTTTTTTCTTAAGCCAACCCAAAAAAATATAGTCCAGAGTCTGAAGTGTGAAAAAAAATGCATATATACGCACATAAATTCGGCTGCTTTTAGTTGAATTATCATCAATTCAACTGGATTTGGATCCTCTATAGATGTACAGTTGGTTAGAGAGAATAAATGATAGATACATAAAGAGAAAAAAGTAATGTTATAGCATATACAACCGTACACTGATTATTCACTGCTCTCTCTATTTCACTCCATAATAAGTCTCCAAACCTTCCCACTGCATGATGAAGAATCATAGATAGTTTCAAAAAGCTTATCGTTTTTCAGTTGAGCTGGTTATTAACCACAGCCTGCTTTTACGTTTCTGAGAAAGTACTTCAAGAAGGATGATGAATCATTATGAAGATAACTAATGAATTAATTATGTGACAGGTTTGAGGAATATGGTTCGTAATAAAGAAGAAGGACGTGAGCAGTTGAGGTTAGCCATGGCGGAAAAGGCATATGCAGAAGAAGCAAGAAAGCAAGCAAAACGACAGATAGAAGTTGCAGAGAAGGAGTTTGCTAATGCAAAGAGAATCAGACAAGAAGCTCAAGCTGAACTTGACAAAGCCTGCGCCATTAAACAACATGCCATCAAACAGATTAACTCTCTCATGCTTCAGATCACTTGTCAAGCTTGTAAACGACAATTTGGAGCCCAAACGACACCGACAATGACGTTATTGACGGCTCCTCCACCGCCGGTGCCGGACGAGAACTCCTTGGCAGTAAGCTACATGTCGTCTGCTCTAACAACTGAGGGTGGCGAGGAAGAAAACTATAACAATAACGAGAAAAATGATGGGAAAAATAGTAACTCTTTATCATCTGTCTAGCTGCCTATCTAGCTAGTTTGTCTCTATATATTTTCAAGGTGTCTTCGATTTTCTTTTGTCTAAAATATATTTGTGAAATTATTAATGGGTATACTGAGTGGAACGTGATTATGTGAGTGGAGTGATTTTACATATAGTCGGGGGAAAAGAGTGTTATTTGTAACTTTTTCCAGTCTTCTGCCATGTTATTTTTGTTTAATTAAATTTGGTATAAATAATGCTGGCCTATCATGAAAAAGGAAAAAAAAGTTTTCTTGTTGTGGGTAACTATAATCTTCTGTAAGTTCCCTTGCTCCTTTGTTTTCTTCCTTTTTTTTTTAAGCTATAAATGAGATTAGATAGATTGCGTCGTGCATTTTACAAACTCTGTGAGAAGAGTGGCTAAACAAAGTAATTTTATTTTAATGGTCGAATCGAGTAGAAATGGTTTTATTATCAAAGTAAAAGAATATGGAGAAATAAAAATAAATATTAACACAAATTATGCAATCAAACAAATAAATTTTAACATAAATAATAATATACTACCTCCAAGTCTTATCTCGTTTATAATTTATAAACGGAGTCTTATAATTAGAATTGGAGGTAGTATTTTTTATTATTCATGAAAACAAGTCATAAAATTGAAAAGTTACCAAATTTTAAAACAAAATTAATGAGATTTAAGGTTTTTTTTATTATTGAAAATGTATATAGGGAAAGTCTCAAAGGAAAAAAAAAATTACGTCTTGAATTTTAAAATCTCAAATCGAAAAAAATTACCAAAGCCTGTTCTCATTTGTTTTTCAAGTATAATCAATTGTTATTAAAATACAGTAAATAAGACTTTTTTGAGATTTTGAAATTCTGATTTTTTTAAGACTTTTTCTAATACACATACATATATATATATATACATATATATATATATATATATGAGAGTGAAAAAGAGTAGAGTGGGAATGGGGATGAAGAGGAGGGGGCAGGAGAGTAATGAAAATGAATGATGGGGTCAGAAGAGACTGAAATGTGAGAAGCCTTGTAGTTTTAGGAGTTTGGAGGTAGTGTTTGGAGTATATGCTGTGAGGTCTCTGGTCATAGTAAAAGAGGGCATTCAAGATATACTGACACCTTTGATGACCAAAAAAGCCTACAACCTTCTAAGCATTCATCATCAATATGAGAGAGAACCCCACCACTCTCCTACAACACACACACACAAAAAAATTACTTAATTTTGTTTCTCTCTCTTTAATTTTGTTAAAAACTATAATTAATGTTTCTTTTCATGTTTTGTTGATTTCTCCGGAAAACCAAACATGCGTTTAGATTCTTTATAAGTGAACTTTGAGTTGAAACGGAAAACCAAAACAGTGATGAATAGAGGTCCTGTTTGGCATGGAGTCTTGAGAATGAAGGGTAATGATTAGTATTGAGATTGAAAAAAAATTACCACCTCCTGTCCTTAATATAAGACCTCATTTGACTTTTATTTTGGTTTTAAATATAAGACCCCAATCCACTTTTTATCTCATATTTATGCAATTTTTTAAAGCAGTCTTTCAAATAATAATAGTTCTAGCTATTATACTTGATTAACAGTGATATTTTAGGAAAGATAATACTTATTTATTACAAATAACTGACTTAATTTTTTTTCTTAATTTACTCAAATTAGCCAACCAACTCTTATATTTAAAATCGAAATAGTATTAAAAGTGTTTAATATAAGTAATTTCTTACTATACGGGGTTAAGCAATCAAATATAGGCAGGATTAAAGAATACCACCGTTATCCATAGCATTCTCCAATATCATATATATGGATTTTTTTTAATTCCAAATAATAAGTAATTTTTCATACTAAATATTTTTTTAACATATTTTTCTAATCTCAATCACAATCTTTACCTTTTATTTTTAGTGTTTTGAAACAAAAGGAACCATAAAATCCAAGCAGACAGAAAAGTAAAAAAGACTAAGAAAGGTTATGCAATTATCATATTAAGTCAAGCCCAAAAGACTAAGAAAGGTTATGCAATTATCATATTAAGTCAAGTGGGGCTGATCAACACTTTATCTCTAGTTACAATGTTATATAAGATGTGTGCATTAATGACATTATAGTCTAATTAAAGTAAAAACATTTGATCCTATTCATAATCTCCGGCTGTTAATATCTGCCTTTCTAATTAAAGTAAAAAATACAAGATGTGGGTGGTGATGAAAAATCATGGAAATGAAAAATAGTAGAAATAATTAATGGGAGTGGGTGAATGAATGGCAATGAAGAGGCAGGAGGAAGGAAGGAGAATGCATGTTTTTCAGTGCCATGAAAGTGAAGGGTGTTAGACTGTCAATGAGTGAGTTTGAGAGAGAGAGAGAGAGAGAGAAGAGAAGAGAATACGAACGAACATTCATCATTCATTCATGTGTCTCTCTCTTTCTCTGTGTGCATCAGAATCAGAGCCAAGCGGAGTAAGTAGTGGGCGCAGAGGCTGTAACCAGAGCAGACTCAGACTCAGACACACACAGCATCTTTCCAAATATTCAGACGCCGTTCAAAGCCTTTCCCCAACCACGCACTTTCCCTTTGCTCCCACGTTCATTCACCAAACCCACCCCCCCTTTTTTTTTAAATTTTCAACAGAGACATCTTCAAATTCCACCACTCTTTACTTCCATTTTTAATTGCTCAAACGACATTTATCTCTGGAATTAAATATTAAAAAAACACAAATTTTAGAAAATGGACTGTGTGTGTATATATATAAGCATATACCAGTGATGGTAACTGCAGCACTCACTCTTCAGTTGAGCTGACATACAGGCTCCTGCCATATTTTATATTAATATATTAATTCAAATTTTATCGTATCATTTTTTCAATTAGCATAACAAATATGATATCGTATAGGTACATGACTGTTGGGAAACAAACAAAAAAAGGTACGTCCTTTAGATATTTGACAGTTTCTTTTGCTAAGTATAAATATCATCATCATATTAGAAGTAATCATATTCGAGAAATGTGGTTATCATTCTCAATATGAATTTGAATCTTTACTTATTATGCTATGAAGGACTAACTCCTTCCACAATGCTTGTATTTATTAGTGGATATTTGATGGTAGTTTTACTTTCAATGTTGAGGCCCTAAAATAACTCCCCTCTGTTAGGGCCAGGGACATGCTATGATACACAAGCAGGGTTAAGACCAAATAAAAAAAAGCTTTCCTGGTGAAGATTTTCTTTGTTATGCATAGATATCCTCCTCTCTGTTTAAAATATTGTCTGGTACTAAACATAGGCATCTCTCTTAATGGGTATTCAAATTTTAATTTTTCATGTTATGAGAAACTTTTTTTTTTTTTCCTATTAGATCTAATCCTATTGGTCCCAAAAACATTGTTTGAACTTTACTAGATTGGAATGAACAAGTAATCGTCCGCTGCAAGTTCCCACTGGCCTCATGCGAACCATCAGGCCTGGATCTAAGCCCGATTTTTGAAGCCAGATGGCCCAGTGAAAATTTATTCAGTACTGCTCAGGCACTGAACACCTTAATCTCTTTCGTGCTCGGGACCAAACCAGGATTTGCTGGTTTACTTTTGTGCATTTTAGGGTTTCATGGAGGAGAAGCAACAGCATTTGGGGCTAAAAACAATAAAAATTGCCTATGTGATCGATCGTGGTCAAAATCGGATATTAATTTGCTGCATGAGAAAAGTGAGCTAGATACAGAGATATAAATATTAATAACAATTAACGATATATTCTTCGCATCTTCATGGTTTGATTAGGAGTTTGGGTGGCACGAGAGTGAATTCAAGCCTAATTAAATTAAATCAGGGACTAAATGACCAAAAGATAATTAAGATATTATATGAACAGCTGTCATTATAATTGTAAAGAAGAATTAACTCGGTGAAGTTTAGCCATTCTATAGCTAGAAGGTGAAATATAACCCCCTAATATTCTATTGGATTAACCCTTATTTCTTTCATTGTTCTCTTTTTATAAATCTTTGTTCTCCTTTAATTGTTATATTGCATTAGAACTATATATAATTAGATTAGTAAAACTAAACTCATTGTGGGTTTGACCTTTGAAATATTGTAAATGATTTTAGTATTACAGTTTTGACTTTCCTTTGGGTCAAGCGATATTACTCCTAGTAGCGGTGACTAATTTCTTTCTACCGTAGGCTTTCTGAAAGAACTTTAAATCTAGCCACGAGCCCCTTAGAACCCCTTAGAACTTGAAACGTAAAATCCGCACTACAGTAGCAGATCTTTTCTTTTGCTTTTTTTTTTTTTTTTTCCTTTTGTTGTGGGGTGTTTTGGGGGTTGGGGGGGTGAAAGACTGAAAGTTGAATTGTGACGGGGAACAAATTCATTATAGGAACCTGTCAATCCAGTATCCACATGGTGTTAATAAGTGGTTTCTACAAAAACAGGCGGAAGATGCTCTACAAAAATTCCTCAGCAGTACTTAAATCCAACAAGATTTCAGACTTAACTTCTTCTGGTAATGGGGCTGATGGCCCTGCCCTTGAGTAAAAGCTTGCCAACGATCTGATCGCTCTCTCCAGCTCAACGTATGATTCCTGCATGTAACCCACGCAAAGCACAATCATATTTGTAACGAAATGCAAGCACACGCAAAATAGTCATAGCATTTAATTTTCATTACATGTCAATCAAGAAAATTTCATAACAATCGTCTGCATAAGAAAAAGTGTAGTAAGTTAAGCTGATTATTAATAAACATGTAATTCCTTAAGTAAATTTTTTTGATTGCTTACACCTTCATTCATAATTTGTCAAGTCTACTCACTTTGTAAATCATGTCTATACAAGAGTTCTAGTTTGGTCATGAATACATACTTCTTCAACAACAGCTTTTTGCCCCTTCCAATTGCTCAAATACTCCCGAATTGATTCCTTCGCTGCATCGGCGGTCCTTCTGAATTTGGTAATATCATTAGGATCTTCATTTAGAGAATCACGCAGTGTTTTCACTACCTCCCTTGCTGACTTTAAGTAAGCCTTTGGCAACACCTTCCCAGACTTAGTTTTCTCATTAGGATCAAATAATGATTTGACGGCATCTATAAATCCTTTATCCTCTTCTTTTTGTGCAGTTTCCTTCTCTTCAGCCCATGCCAGAAATGGTGATAATAATGTGACGGTAACCAATGAAGTGCCAGTACTTACTAAAGCATGCCTGCGACTTGATGAAGCTTTGGGGGAGGGTACTGCAGTATAAGACCTGGATTGCAGTTTATCTGTTATGTATTGCAGAAGACGTCAAGAAAGAAAAGGTGTTGATACTGGGAATATCAAAATCAGAAGCACGACATGTCACATTACTGCATCACCATTAAGCAGAAAACACAATTGTTAAAATGCTAAGGCATGCTTGTTTGAATATATGACTCGATGGGAGAGTTTCAATAAAAATTTTATGAACATTTAGACAGCAGCAGCGAGGTAAGTCCAGTCAACCATGATTAGATAACTATATATATAAGCATAGCACAAGTGGATTCGAAGAAAAGTATTATCTAACATGGTTACATGAAACCTGGATTGTCAACAATGAATAATTTCAGCGGTTGATTTAATTCTTCCATTTACAATATGCCACACCATTTGAAAAGAAATGTGAACCCCGAAAAAGTGTGATCGGTTATATATATTAAGTACCCTTACTCTCCAATCTTTCGACTCCTTTAATTGTATGGGTACTTAGAAAGGAGCACATATTTGTTGCAAGAGTGGCCATTCTCTTCCAGGAACCTAAACGATGCTGAGTTGCATTCAGTGAGTGCACAATGGGGCGAGAATCTCTTCAATCTTACGTAGAATACAGCATTTCACCTTCATAACAATGATGCAGTCACAGTTGAGAATAATTACACATGCCAAGGGATCAAATTACTCACTTAAATAATAAGAAAGACATCCCAAATTTTGAAAAGTAACCCATATGTCTAGAGATTGAAGAATAGTCCTTTTTGCAGGATATAACTCTCCAGTAATCATTTCGCATCAGATGGTAAGGAGAATGCATCACCCATTGAAAAAGGTCAATCCCAAAGGCCATCAAAAGTCCCAAGAAGTTACCAAAGGACATTACAGACTGTAAAACTAGAGAGATGTAGAGTAAAATCGTCTTATTAGTGTGCCTACTTCTCATCGATTAAAACTACATATTTCAGCCAACCCGCGAAGAAGAAGAGATTGTTAGCAAATTTCAGCAAACCGACCAACAATCTGGAAAATAAAGATCAAGTAGGTCAACCTGATTCAACAATTTGGCAAAATCCACACAGCAGAGAAAAGCTAGTGTTTACTTCCAACTATACTATCTCTGCAGATAGAGTAGGCAATGCCGGGTTGCTATCCTAGCGGGCTGGCTGGAAAAGCCCGTCTCAAGGTGGGCCAACCCGGGCCTTCCAAGAGATGGGCTGGTGGCCGGCCTCCTTTTAAACAAAAAATCATAATTTACAAAAAAAAAAAGGGATAGTAATAGCCATTTCACATTGTTTCATAGTCAAATTACAAGCCAAATAAACAAAACAGCCAGCTAACTTCCGGAGTGACGAGCAGTGCCAAAGAGTTTTCCAACGAGTCTACATATCTTACAATACAGCAATTTCACGCATAGAGTGATAAAAGATAGGGCAAAAAAACCAAAAAAAAAAAGGGGAAAGAAAACAGATTCATGCAAGAAGACGGCGAGAAAGAAGCGCGTACGAGTCGCAAGCAACACAACACCTGTTCAGAACTCAGATTACCTGCGAAGAACCAAAAATGGATTGCTGAAGAGCTAAGACCAGAGCGAGAGACAGCGTCGAGTGGATCAGTGAAGTGAGTGAGAAGAGCGACGGACTAGCGGTGCTGCGAGCGACACACTGATGACGCTGCGACTGCGAACGACGGAGGAGACGACGAGAGAAGACGTTTGCTTGCTTATCTTTCGGACGGTGGAGAGATTGCAAAATCTGATGAGGTTTTGTGTCAAGTGTCTTGAGATATTATCGTGGGCTGGGCTGCATCAGAAAATGGAAAGATGAATGATATTGGGCCATTTGTCTAAATGACCCGTTTCCGTGTAACATAACCCGCAATCCAACCCGTAAGAGGCTCTTCAATGTGCAAATTTGGGAATCATTCTTTGCAAAGAATCTTCCTCCATATTCATATTACAAAAATTGACTTCTATATTTCTATTTATAAGGCAGAAAAATATTTTTTTAATTTATAAGTTACCTCATTAAATTTTTTATATTATTATATTATTTTATCTTTTATTTATTATAATACAAAACCGCAAATAGTTTTTTTTAAAGGCATATATTAAATATAAATAAAGTTGAGATTTAATACAGTTTAAAATTTTTCTTAATATGAATAAAATATGTTGAGAGTATCCTATAAATAAAAACTTATAGAACCGTAGGAGTAAATGCTATTAGGAAATTTTGTGATTAAGATTTTTAACATGTTTATATTATTGTACTTTGATTAGTGTGTAGAAGAATCAAATTGAATCTTGGCAAAATAAAAAATAAAAAAAAAGAATCGAATTGAATCGTTACTGATAGTTTGTGCACTTATCATTGTAAGTTTGACTTGTTCAACCTTTAAAACTGACTTAGAAAAATTAGTCACACATTAATTCAGCAAATAAAAAATTAAAAGTAGTTAGGTGATCAGTTAACACTAGATTAACTAAACTCAATTTTTGGCTTTATCTCGCTTAAAAGTTAAGATTCGACACTTTAATTTGTAGTAAATATTCATTAATCAAAAAATAAAAAGTTAAAATGTATTTTGTCTAACTTATATTGCATATAGATTTAACTTAAATGATATATCAGTCTCAAGTATGCAATTTAAGTGCATTTACCATAAATTCGACCTTGCTTGTTTGACCTTTGAAAGCGACATAACATATTAGTCAACTGCAACACATTCATAGAACAAAATATAAAATTAATAAAAATAGGATAAGTTAACACCAGATCAATCAAATTTAATTTTAATTCAGCTCTGTCAAACAGAAAAATGTTTTTGGTGTATATATTTAATTTATATATAGATTCATAATTTAAGTCATCAAACGTAAAAAATATAGAATACAAAGAATAAAATTTAGATTCACTTGCGTATATTTATTAAATTCAATTTTTCAATCAAATCTTATCATAATTAATTTTTGTTATTAATTATGGTCTAACAGAATGTTAAAATTTTATTTATATGAATTTTTATTATTAATAAAGTCATGTACATGGGATAATTTGACTTATCAAATATACGTAAATGGGTTATACAAATATAAAATCTTATGCAAGTTGCAGTTTTGTTGCTGGATATAAATATTGCGATTTACATCTCATCTCAATGCAAAAATGTTTCAAGTACAATATAGAATATAAATTGAGATTTAAAACGAAAATATCAGTTTCTCTCAAATAAATACATAAAGATTTGTAAGTGATCTGTTTAGAAGATCTATTGCAATTATCTCCATGTTATAAAGTTAAAGTTAATTCTATCTCGTAGTAATTAGATTTTACTCTTATAAAGTTAAACTTAAAATGTTACCTTTAATCTGAAATTTTTAAACTTTCTAATTAAAAAGTGTAATATCAAAATTTACTTCAGTCTATTCTTAAAATTTTAATTTTTAATTCAATAGGACTAAAAGATATAATAAGAATACTTCTAGCTACTATATTTTTAATACGTCAATCTTGACTTATTTTTTAAAAAGATAAATGTCAAAAATAAATTTTTTATCAAAAAATTTTTTCTAAGAAAATTTATCTTTCCGCATCCTTCGCTTCCAAAAAAACGAATCTCTAATCTGAAAGTTTAGAAGTAAAAATATCTGAATTTATATATATATATATATTCATTTACTGTTCATGAATTCGTTCACGCTCGCGCAGTAATACTCTTCTACCACCCATCATTCACATATCCACGGACCCTTCACGTCATACCTTACCTTTCTCTTTCACAAATGGCTGACGTCGTACGTCAACGCCGGCCTCCCAACCTCCGCCTTAAGCTGCCGGAGCCCTCCCCTTGCTTCCCCATCCCCACCATCTCCTCCGCCACAGACCTCACTCCTAACGACGTTGAAAAGCTTCAAGTTCTTGGCCACGGAAATAGTGGCACAGTCTACAAGGTTCGCCACAACCGCACTTCTAACATCCACGCTCTGAAGGTCGTCCATGGCAGTTCCGACACAATGATTTCCCGCCAGGTCCAGCGGGAGATAGACATCCTCCGACGGACGGACTCCCCAAATGTAGTAAAGTTCCACGGTTTCTTTGAGACGCCGTCCGGCGATGTGGGGATATTGCTAGAGTACATGGACTTGGGAACGTTGGACACGCTGCTGAAGAACAACGGCACCTTCTCTGAGTCTCAACTCGCAGCGGTGGCGCGTCAAGTTCTCTCTGGGCTGAGCTATCTCCACGATAAAAAGATCATCCACCGCGATATCAAGCCATCAAATCTCCTAGTGAATCAAAAGATGGAAGTAAAGATCAGCGATTTCGGAGTCAGCAAGGTTTTGTCTAGGACGTTGGACACGTGCAATTCATACGTTGGTACATGCGCGTACATGAGCCCGGAACGGTTCGACCCGAATAGTTATGGCGGGAATTATAACGGGTATGCGGCTGATATATGGAGCTTAGGGCTCACCTTATTTGAACTCTATGTGGGTCACTTTCCCCTTCTAGAGGAGGGTCAGAGACCCGATTGGGCTCAATTGATGTCTGCCATTTGTTTCAACGAACCACCAACCTTGCCGGAGAGTGCGTCCGACGACTTTCGGAGCTTCATGGAGTGCTGCTTGAAGAAGGAATCAAGTGAGAGATGGACAGCGTCTCAGCTTTTGGCCCACCCGTTTCTATGTCCACAATAACCCGAAATATATTCTTTTTTCCCTTCCATTTTTGTTTCAGAATATTCTTTCTTTGTAATTAAACTATGTTCAGATGCAAAGATTCAAATTCTTTTTATTGATTCATATGTTGCACAAATTGATTCGATGATGTTCAGTAATGCTGTGAATACAATTCTGAATGTTTATATCTCTATTGTGTTTTTCCTTCTCAAAATATCTCTAGTCTCTATATATTGTGATTTAATTATTGTTTAAAAGAATCAAATTCAAGAATCAATACCAATAATCCGTGAATTTTCGTTGGCACGCCAAAAAAAAAACGTGCATTTATCATAAATTGGATTTGTTTGATCTTTCAGAATCACTGAAAAAAAAAGTCATACATGAACTGAACAAATCGAATCCAAAAATTAATCAAATTGGATAAGTTAACCACAAATCGATCAATTAAATTTAATTTTTAAGTTTATCTAGTTAATAACTCAAAAGTAAAAATAAAGATACTTTGCAATAAATATTCACTGTTTTTCGATCTTATTTAACTTATTATGTGTGTATGTGTGTGAAATTTAAATATTCAGTATGAAATATAAAACTTGATACAGGCTGCATTATTTATAAAAAAAATAAAATAATGAAACTTATTTTAAATTTTGAGACATATAAAAATTGTGCCAAATAATTAAAATAGAACTATAATTAAGTATTTCTTGGGCCAACCAACAATTACCAAGGATTCAAATTGCATGTGGTATGCTTATTTTTTTTAAAAAAATTAAGATATAAGATTTATCAGTTAGAAATATGGATGTATACAAAAAATGAATAAAATTGATTTTGAACACATATATATAAATATATGTCTATATGTATATAGATGTTGGCCAAAATCTATTTAGTTCGGATATAAACAATTGATTATAAACAAATTATTACGTTTTTTCCCCTATTGGGAAGGAACGCTTTATTACGATACTTCTCCTAATTAGATAGAAAATAAATCAAAACTCCAAGCATGATACCTGAAATATCAGTTCATACGCTAAGACCCAATCGTGCCAATGTGAACACATGATTTATTATTAACTATACAACTTACAAATTATAAACAATGTCACTCGTCTTTCAAACTATAATAATAATAATAATAATAATAATAATAATAATAATAATAATAATAATAATATAATCACATCCAGGACAAGGCATAACATTCTTCCTGGGCCATCCCATTATTATCTTCTATTTTGATAAGGGAGGGAGGATCATTTAAGTGCTAGCTGGTGTTGTGGTTTGGAAGTTAAGGTGTGGTGCAACCGTGCAAGTGAACTCCCAAGTCTTACGTGGTAGAGTGGAATATCCACCTAAGTGCAGGTGGATTTTTATTAACTACGTACTTAAGTAATTAATACTCAATAAATCGTTTTTTTTTTTTTGGGGTTCATGCCTTTTAAACGCGCGTGTGCAGAGCATGATAATGCTGGGCTTAAATCTGATTCTTTTTTTTTTTTGCTAAGCACAGGTATCTTTGCATTAAAGGTAATTTTGTTTGACATACTGTTAGACACCAAATGTGGGCATATTTTTCAGTAGGGATTTGAATCTTGATTCGTCACAACATAATAGATTAACTCCTTCTGTTAGACTAAACTCATGTTAGTTAAAATCCGATAACATGATGAGTGATAGTGTTATTGGCAAGGAACAAAAAACCGGACCGGATATTAAACTGGTTGAGGTAGTGGTTCAAGGGTTAATGGGTCAGACCGGGGTCAACTCGGGATCAAACCGGTCATATTAAAATAATATAATTTAATTAAAAATGACAAAATATAACAATAATAATAATTACTAATAACAAAATATAAAGAAATACAATAAGAATTTGATTGTAATAATAATAAAGTACAACAATATTGAGAATTTTGATCTTTATAATTTTTTCAATAACTAAAATTAATAGTTATTGATGCCAAACTCATCATCAAAATTCATTTAAATCTATAATAATTGAGATATTAGGAGTTAAATAAGAAAAAATAAGATAAATATCAATATATTTATTTAAACCGGTTCATTACCGGTTCATACCAGTTTTTACCGGTTTTCACTGGTTCACACCGGTTTGACCGGTTCAATCCGGTTTGAACCGGTCCCCGGTTTAACTTATGAACCGGACCGGACCACTGACCGGTTCACCGGTTTACCGGTTGAACCGGCCGGTCCGGTCCGGTTTTTTTTACATTGGTTATTGGGTTAGCTTCCCATTGAACAATTATTAAATGATAAGAAAAAAGTAAATGAAATTTAAGATTTGGTAATTATGATGAAACATATTCAAAATGTCTTATAGTAAATAAGAATAATAGTGTATTGCTTCCGATTCTTAATATAAGATTTATTTTAAAAAATCAATTTAGTCCAATACACTTTATTTCTAGTAATTATTCATTTTGCTCTAAATAATCCCTACATGTTTTTTGATACAAAAGTAATCCCTAAGTTGATTGTACGTGTTAAAGAGTTACTATTAATGGATAATTCAAATACACATTATGAATAGAGATATTTTAAGAAAGACATCTTTTTACTATAAATAGCTAACTTAAATAATTTTACTAATATTTACAAATTAGTTATCTAACTTTTTTTTTTGGCTATGTATATGTATTCTCTCATTAAAGACAATTATATTCGAGGTATTGTGAAACACTACGTCTAGGCATATTTTTTAGAGAATATTCAAATTTTGATTTACCATATTATAAAAGATTAATTTTTTTTATTAGACTTAATTTTTCTTGGTATCTAACTTTTATATTAATGAGTTGGGATAATATATTACAATCCCCAACCCAAACCCCAACACAGGAGAAATGTGCTGGCCAGCGCTTCTTGGGAGTAACTATGACCGGCCACGATGAAGCGGACCGGAACAAAAAGAGCCCAATAATAAGGGAGCGTGGACCTTACTTCAGCAGCTTACCGCATGCGCCCTAGCACTTTTATCTTCTCAAATAAATAATTTCCAAAAACTATATAATTTTTCATTTACTTCCATTTTTTGGGTTTTTAAGTTCAATTTTTGCCACCAAACCGTCATAAATGATAAATTACTTTTATTTCGATCATCCTATGAAATTAGAAAATTTTTTTAAAAAATACTTCTAAAATTCTAAGATTTCAAATTAAAGATGACTATAAAAATATGTTATTATTTTTTTTAATGTTTTTAATTGTTATTAAAATATAGTGAACAATGATCTGAAATTTTAAAATTTAACAATATTTTTTTAGATTTTTCCATAACAATTTAAATTTTTTGGAAATGAGATTTCAGAACCTACCTCCCATCATTCCTACGTGTTATATTAGAAAATAAAAAAATAAAAAAAGTTTGCATTGAAACTTGAGCCTTGGAAGGGGGGAGTCGGGCTGGGCATATTTTGAACTTAAAAAGTAAATAAAATAATTATTAAAATCATAAATGCATTTCAGATTAGAATTTAAGTTGGCGTGCAGGCATTTTCCTTTTGCTTTCTTCGTTCTCCCACCGTAGACGGCAAGAACCCTAACTACAGGTACTGTTTTCTCTGGCTGCTTGAAGATGCCATGCTGTTCTTCTTCCTTTTAATGTTAATATGCGTTCTCTTGCCATCGAAATTTTTGATATGCCCACTTCCATTTCGGTCTTCTATTTGATCTATTCCTTTTTTGCTCAGAGATCTAATATGTTTGCATTTGCCTCTGTTCTGTCTTGGTCAGAGTGAACTCAGATCAAAACCCAAAAGTTGAAATCTTCGTTGAATGAGGTTTTGCCTATGTACATTTATGTGGTCTCTCTAGTCCGAGTGGGAATAAAGGTCGGTTTGTGGGTACCCATACGCATTTTTTTAAAAAATATTTTCCCCTTTGTTTCTTTAATCACATTGAATTTATTTTTCTTTTTGATACTGTAGGCTTGCTTGGAGAACTGAATGACCTGTTTAACTTGGCTGAAAATTTGAGAAGAACTACTCTGTTGTCCTGCATTACTCGTTTCTTGTTCTAATGGATGGGGATAATGGCCTTGACATCCGAAATTGGGGTTACTATGAACCCACAACTTCCTTTAAGAATCATCTCGGACTCCAGCTTATGTCTTCCATGCCTGAAAAACCCATGCTTGGAGGGCGCAATGCTGCAGTTTTGTCCGGAAACAATGTGGCATTTCACCATAGGACCATTGGGTTGCCACAAGCAACTTACCCTATGGACTACATGAGGGAAGCTTGGATTAGTCAAAGAGAGAAGTTTTTGAACATGATTCCAACAAACCCGGCAAACTATGCGGTTCTTCCAGAGACATCTTCAGCCCATCACATGCAGTTGGCTCAACCTCCTGACTTGACGAAGGAAGAAAGACCGGTGGAAGAGGCACCTGTTGAGAAGACTAATGGCACTAGTAAGAAAAGGCAGGGTCCCAAGGTACCCAAATCTCCCAAGGCAAAGAAGCCCAAGAGAGGACCTCGTACGCCGAAGGATGAGAATAATCTTTCTGTTCAACGAGCAAGGTCTGCAAAGAAAACTACTGAAATCGTAATAAATGGGATTGATATGGATATCTCGAGTATTCCTATTCCAGTTTGTTCATGCACTGGGACGCCTCAACAGTGTTACAGATGGGGTTCTGGTGGGTGGCAATCTGCTTGTTGCACAACAAATATGTCAATGTATCCATTGCCTATGAGTACAAAGCGGCGGGGTGCTAGGATAGCTGGGAGGAAAATGAGTATAGGAGCATTTAAGAAAGTCTTAGAGAAGCTTGCAGCTGAGGGTTATAACTTCTCTAATCCAATCGATTTGAGGACTTATTGGGCAAAACATGGCACTAACAAGTTTGTCACTATCAGGTAGAGTCGTAGATGTATGCTATGGCATATGTGGCCTCTTATTCCAGTCAGCCTGTTGATCATGTATATATTTGTATTCGGCTTGAGATGGAGGCATTTTAGATTATTTGTAGTACAAGAATTTCCAAAGTCATGCTACATTTTATTTTCATTTTAAATTTTTAATATCTTGTTTTGTTTAGTTCTTTTGGATTTAATTCATGGGAATTCAATCTTGTGGCTGTTGGTCCTGATCCGAAAGTACCTGATCCAGAAATAGCAGATGGGACCTTATTAAATTATATTTGGCAAGAAAGTTTTATCTATTCTTAAACTGTTGCTTACGGTGAATGAATGCTGCTTCCAAGCATGCCCTTCCTTTTCTGTAGATCACTGTTGGCTAAATGTGAGAATATAGTCAAGTATTGTTGGTGTGGGAAAGAGGGAGGGGGTAGGGTTTCTGTGGTGAAATTGAGGGTAGAATCTTATGTTCTGTGTATGAAATAACAACTTCTTATATGGAAGATCCATTTATCAAGTCCTGGTTGCTCGGGTGTTGTGAATAATAGGGGATTTGACTGGGTGATGATTTAGCATTGTTTTCCAAGGAAATCAGGACTGGATAGGATAGCAAGCTGAAGAAGCAAAATAGCAGTTGAGGGTGAGAGAATGAGCATAGGCATTAGCTACCAAGTAGATAGCAACATGCTAAAATTTCATCAAACTAAACATCAAGACCCCAAGAAAACATTATAACTGTTTTGAACTTTGAACAGACCTTCTATCCTGTAAGTGTACCCTGCAAGTACAGGCCAATTTACAGCCAATATTGTTAGAGGAACCAGATTCCCATTGGCTTTATGCTTTTGGCAAAACCTCCATCAGAATATCCCTGGGTTTGAATGGTTTTCTAGATGGTCCATTCGCGTACAGGAAGGGTTACTTTCTCTAAAGGGGTATGTGTGGCGAAACATGAAGTAGCTTTGTAGGCACGAATTAAAGCAGTCTTCTCTCAACTAATGTTGGCTGCAACAAAATGATAGCCAAATCATCTTAAAATATCTTGGCAAGTTCAATTCATGTAGCTTTTTATGTGGAGTTATCAGTTTGATTGACAAAAGTGTTTTTATTAGAATTATCAATAGCAGAACACCTTGAAAACTTCATTACATTGTCGCTTTTATCTACCAATGCCTAATAGACCGGTGGACAATGAGGGATGTCACTGTCTCACTGTTGTGGACTCGTCGAGCTGCATACCAGTTACCTATACCAGTGTCATACACACAAGTGGTGGTTGCTTAATCCATGGTTTGCAAATTGACATAACCTTTACTTCTGACCAGTAGCTCAGTAATCTTATTTAGCAAGTTATTCACACTTATTTTATGGGTGAATTTTTTTTTTTTAATGAGAATATTGGTTTGGTAGTCGGCACTCTGCAGATGCATTGTTTTCTTTGGCGGCAAGCAAGTCACAAGTTTTCAGTGCAATAATTATTTGAGAAATGGGGGAGTTGAGAGCATATCTCTTGTTGGAAAAGCCATAAATTCTGGGTGAGTTATTATTGGTGAGTCTGGATAAAGGCTTCTTTCTGAATTTATAATGTCACACCCACACATGCACGTTTGCGCACACAGGCAATTCTACAGCTTGAAGGTTTTCAAACTTGGACCATATTCTATCTAATTGCATATAAATGGAAGAGTTGATCTTGGGTAGCATACATACCTTAATTGCTAATATGGATTAAGGTTGTTTTCCCTGCAGGTGTTGAATTCGGTTCCTCTTAAATTCCCAATTAAATTATTCCGTTGAAATTATAACCTCAATTTTTACAAATTTATACATATCTCTTTTTAAGGTTTTTTTCCTTTAAAAAAAATCTTTTTGGGCGCCCCCCGGGGGGGGATGTAAAGGAACTTGAAATGGTTTGGTCCTATGCAGATGGAACATGTAGTGTTTGAGAGTACTGAATCTTTTGGTTGACTTATTTCTGTAGATGGCATTATATGAAAACTTAAGCTATGATATTTGAGACTCAGAGAAATAGAAGCTAATCAGGATAGATGATACCGTATGGAGAAACTTGGGGAGAGCAGAATCATTTTTGGAAGCTTGCGTATTTAAATGAGGGAATGAGGTCTAATCTCGAACGTGTTGTGGATTCCTTGTTAATCTTAAGACATCTTTAATTTGGATTGTTTAAATCAAAATTGAATGATCCGAATTTTTTTCAATTGTATTAAAATTTTAATTTTTTTTTATTTTGATGGGTGCAAAATGTAAAATAAAGATAATATTTTGGATTTTCACAGGATATTTTAATCGTCATTTAAAAAAATAATTTTAACTTCAGAAATTAAAAATAAGAAACTTCATATTTGTCCAAGTTAAATTTAAACCATCTAGATCTCAGTTTAAAAATCAGCGGAGGCTTAATTAGATCTGAACTCTTTTACTAAGCCTTCTTTTTTAACGGATGGCATTCAATTCATGAATAGAGCTATTGAATATACCATATCTTTCGTATTAATAAGCTGATAGAAAATTAATTCATGAGTACTATTACCAACATATCTTAAAATTGAAACTATCTGTGGCATTCATGACAGCAATATAACAATCCCAACATACTATGTTGATGGCTAGAAAACAAATGAACCTTTAGAATTAATTCCATTAGCGTGTTTAGAGAAGACAATTGTCAATATGCCAAAGAAACTCTGAAATTCATCCTTATCATGCAGTGTGTATGTACAAGACTAACACAGGGAAAATTACCATAAAGACCTGTTCGCAGAATTAATTATCCAATGATACCTGGTATCTTTTCTTATACACTCAGTTCAGAGAATTTCAGGGTGTCTGAATATATAGTTTTAAAAGTAATCTTAAGGAATATGAAATAAGTATATGAAAAGAATTTTATTTCAATTTAAGTGCTTTTTAAAGTAATTAAAAAAATACTGATGCTCAAATTCGGGTAGCAATGGACGATTCTCCAAACAGGTATTTGTGAACAATCTTCCTAAACCCAAAAAGGCAACTCACCAAGATATTCAAATCAGATTAAGCTAAATCACCAGACTAACCTCGGCTCACATAGTTTAGTTGCATCAAAGAATCACATTCTAATGCTGTTACCCACACCCTTGAGTTGCTGAGCCTCCTCTGATGGATTATAAAAACATCAAAACTAAAGCAAGTCCAATAAAACATTTTCAATTTTAATCGGGGAAAAATCAATAGTTGAGGAGCAGCTGAAAGCCCTCAATAAGACAATGAATCAAATTAGCAAAGCATGGCTGCTACACAGGGAAAAGGAACAGAGTATTGTTCAGAGTCTTCTTTTTTTTAAGTGCAAAGGAGGAAATTCATTAATCAATGAAAGAATACAACAGAATTGCATCCAAAAGGGACTGTTCAGACTTCAGGGTCTTTTTAACTGAAGCTATCATTAAACAATGAGGTAAAAAATTACAAGGAAAGAAAAAATCTATGACCTTTCTTCATCTTCACCTCTCCAAATTGACGTGGAAGTTGATCAAAGGTGCAAAAAATGACATCTAAGTCATGGGACAGTTTTGCTAACTTATCAGCCTCCAAAATGTATTTCCTATATATAAATCTATATATTACACCCCAAATTTTATCAATAAGCTTCCCAGCTTCCTGTATAACATCACGATAAGATTGATCACTAATATATTCTCCAGTCAACAAGTTCCAGGTTTGAGCACTGTCAGTAATGATTTCAACTTTGTGCATTCCTCTATTCTAGCAAATTTCCAGACCTTTACTAATTCTATTTACTTCAGTTAACAGTTGGTGGGCACACCATTTTGCATCTAAAACTCAACGCCCACTCATTGTTACTGCTTTTGATAATCCCACCACAAGCATTTTCAACTCCTGAGATGACTGAACCATCAGCCTGCAATCCGAAGTGTACTGGTGGGGCTCCATCCTCTTGTTTAGCACCCCTGCTTCAGCAGCCTGTTCAGTCTTTGAACTCAAAATATTAACTGCTAGAGCACTGGGAAGAGTATAATATCAAAATAAGTTTTTTACAATGAATTGATCACAACTTCCTCCACAACTTAAAGGCTGTTGTGTAGCACAACTTTTTGAGGCCAAAAGAAACAAGGATTTGCAAACCACTTGGCAAATTCACCATTAAAGTAAGTATGAACTCAAAACTAAAGTATCTGACCTTGTTAGCCTTGTCATCCTCCATTTTGTAAGAAGACATCAGACTTCGACAATCATACGCCAAGGGACAATCATATGCCAAGGACTTTTATTAGCCTTTTCATCCTTCATTCTTTTCTAAGACAGTTTGAGCAACTGAGTGAAAAGTTGTGGCATCCAAGAGGCAGAGGCATTCGCTTTTATTTTTTAAACCAAGACCATCTTTCTCCCAAACAAGCCTCTCACAAAGCCCATCGACCATAATAATATATGTCAAGGCCATTGCTTTGGTACAGCATGAATGTCTTGAACGAACTGTGCAATAAACAAATAACCAAGTTTTACAAATAAGCTCAAAGGTTATTTTCATTGAATTTGGTATTACCTAAGATAGAAATGTAACCAGTATTTTAAAACATAAGTAATAGGTCCATGAACTGACAAAACCATTTTCTACAAATGTCAGGTTATTACTTCATTCAAGATAAGCATACAGACAATCATTAGAGATTCAAGGACTCAACACATATTAGTGATAATTAGCCTCCCATTCTCGTGAAAACAGGAGGTGTCCTCTAGAACTTTGAAGTGGACCAAAATCAAAATCTTTATTCAGACTGCCAAAACGAAAAAGCATTGAACCATTTATGTAAATTCAACAATAAATCTAGCATAACAAACGCTCTTGAAATTTTATTTGTGCTCGTACTCCCACCTAAGTTCTCCAGACATAATTTTTCTTGGTTGTAAGACAACATAATGAACCTTTTACTGGCTCCACCATACTCTGCAGGAGATTACCATTTAGATTCTGAAGTCAAAGAAGACTTAATTATAGCTACTTTTTAAATAAATGAAATGTCATGAACATTCAACAACAACCAAGACAAACCAAGTGATAAACAGAAATTAAAGAAGGAAGAAAGTGAAGCTAAAACAATTAAAAAATCAACGTTAACATCCACAATCAAAATTAAAATAAATATAAAAAGCATGACTTGAACAAAACTCCTGCAGCATCTTTCACACAATTGAATAATCCTACAATTTTAAACAGAAAGAAATGCATTTCCAAACTATTAAAGGCAAATTTTAACATTGGAAGAAGCATGACATAAATTACGAGTATAATGTCTTACGTTTTATCGTTCTCGTAAACCACTGTTGATCATTTCATAAATGAGCTTCTCTGCCTCATCATTCTCGCTTATTTTCAAAAGAGCTCGAATAAGTGTTTCATATGTTCTTGAATCAGGGAGGCAGCCATTCTCTTTCATTTTTTGAAGCAATGCCATAGCCTCATCAAGTAAACCTTCTATACAAAGGCCATTGATCATAATGTTGTAAGTGCAGATATCCAAATGATGGCCTTTGATTAAAAGGTACTTAAAAATTCCTTGTGCATCATTTAGTCTACCACATTTACACAATCCATCAATCAGTATATTGTATGTGTACACACTAGGCCAAATTCCTTGGTCAACAGCTTCCTTGACTAATGCAATCCCCTTGTCAATATTCTGACTTTTGCAAAATCCATCTAACATAATATTATAAGTGATTATGTCAGGAGTATGGCCGCTATTATGCATATGAAGAAAAAGATCTTGCGCATATGACATTCTCCCTAATTTGCACAAGCCATCAATAAGAGAATTATAAGTTACATCATCGGGAACCAAGTTTTTGTGATGCATTTCTCTAAACATATCTAAAGCTTCATCAACCATTTTAATCTTACATAATCCATTAATCAAGATATTGTAAGTAAATACATCAGGTGTCAACCCTCTTTGGACCATCCTGGTGAATACTTCCTTTGACTCATTAATGTTATCCATCAAACAACACCCATCCATTAAGGCATTGAAAGTAACAACATCAGGTCTCTCATCACATTTCATCATCCTAGCAAACACAGCTTGGGCTTCTGTAATCTTTCTTTTTTTACAAAATGCATCAACCAATATATTATAGACATAAATATTTGGTTTGATGTCCTTTAATATCATTTCATGAAGCAACTCAGTAGCTTCCTGCCATTGCCCCATGCTATAGAAACCATGGATTAGGGAACTGTAAGTGACAATATTTGGAATAATTCCATGATCACTCATTTTAAAACAAAAATCACGTGCTTCAGTTACATGTCCCTCTTTGCAGAGGCCATCAATGATTGTATTGTAGATAACTACATCAGGCTTAATTCCCTGATCCTCCATCTTCTTAAGTAACTTAATGACATACCTTGTTTTTCCTCTTTTACACAACCCATCAAATAAAATGGCATAACTAACCTCATCTAACTGAAATCCTTTTGCCATTAGCTCATCATAGAAGTGCAGTGCTTTCTCAACCTTGTTATTAAAACAGAGTCCTTTCAATAGCGCAGTCAAAGTTATAATATTGGGTTGAAGACCCATCTTCAGAATCTTCCCCAATATTGAGAAAGCCGAATACATCTGACCTACATGGCAGTAACAGTTGATCAAGATGCTCAGTGTAAACAAACAAGGTGTAAATCCCTTCAACTCTACTTGTGCATACAGAGAGATAGCAGTGCGATAATGTTTAGCCTTTGCAATTGATCCCAAAAGCTTATTAATTTGGATTATGGAGGGTGGGGGACGCATATGAAGTAACCGATGGAATGAAGCGACGGCGTCGTCGATGTTATTTGCAATAGGGGTTCGGGTATGAGTATGGAACTTGAGATTGAGGGAGTAAGAGGAAGAGAAAAGGATAGAAGAGAGAAGAAAGTGAGGAAATTTGGGGGAGGCATACCTTGTAGATGCACATAACATGTTAATCTGAACAACGAGATACCCAAACAAAGGCTAAGAACAAGTTCCTTCCACCGGCAAACGCAAGAACCTAAGCCCTCGTGAACCAGAGCGATTCTAACAAAAAATTTAACCCTATTCTGTGCGCCGAACTTCAAAATGGAATTAGATTTTCCCCCGCCTCCTTCCTCCCCCTCGCCCTCCTCCTTTTCTCCTTAATGCCTTTTTAAGCGGCAAATGGCAATCTAACGAGATTTTTTTTTTTTCATTCTTAATTTTTTTAAAATAATTATTTATTTTGTAAACATTCCAAATCTATCAATGCTATTATCAAAAAACATGTAGATATTGATATATTTTTATCAAATTCATTCAATAATATTTTAGAATATCATAGTTTAAGTGCTCTATTCATAATATATAACTGTTCAAGTTAAAATGTCTCGCAAATAAAATATAAGACTTCCCAATAAATAACATTTGAAATGGGATCCCTACAATTTGTATAAAAAAAATTTCCCTAAAAATACTTGTTTAATAATTTGTTGAAAAGGTGATTCTGTACGAGACTATTCTCGCGTTAGCATCATCATCAAAATCACGTTTTGATCCATGCAGGGGACAATTGCAATAAGATTCTTTAAAAAAAAATTATAATACAAATCTTAAAAATTATTTTTTATTTTCAAACTTGTTATTATAAGTTGTTTGGGTTGTTATTAAAAAATTTTAGTAATTATTTATCTTTTTTAAGATTTGATTGTAATTCTCCTTTATTTATTTTGAGATCATATGCATGAAATTTGAGCTAATTGCTCCTTATGTATATTTTTTATATAATAAAGTGAGACTTGTTTTTATAAACTTCATGCAATGTACTATTATATTAATTGATGACAAACCTAAGCCTCGCGTTATGTTTTATCAAATAGAGGGAAATTCCGGATATCTCCTTCGTAAATAATTTGATATTTGAAACAATTCTTATTTCTTTGGCCTTCACAGTACATAAGTGGATAAAAATATTCACACAATCATTTTGCATGTACCCATATTTTTTCTCAATTTTTAATTTGATGCCTATGTAATTTTTTCTCTTAATGAAATGTTTTAATTTTGTTATATTAGTACTAGTTCCTGTAAGTTTACTCTTGTTACCACCGTTGATTTCCTAACAGAGCAAAATTAAAAATTTAATTAAAAGAAAAAACACAGTTACTAAATTAAAAGTGAGGACAAATATAAGTGCCTCCAAAATGATTTTTCCTTAACTTTTTTGTTTAAGAAAATTATACACATCTTTGTTCTTAAATTTGAAATTGTAAATATAACAAGTAAAAAATGTTAAACAGAAAAGTAATTCTTAGATATATTCATTTTTGTCACTCTTCAAGAGCCTGTTTTTTTTTGACCGAAGGATAATTCCATTAAAAGAAACTAATACAGACACGATAATCAAAATCAAACAACGCACAAACCAACAGACTATAAGGAACATCAAGAACCAAAAAACAGCCAGGACCACACCAACCGAAGCCTAACCTTATGGATTGAGAATGGGAAGACCAAACTTTCCTTCCACCATGATTCACTGAAAGAGCAATAGAGGGTGGTTGTCCAAAGACTTGCTCTTCAAGAGCCTGTTAACATGTTAACCGTGCATCCTTTTTTATAAATTTTCTATAACAAAAAAATACATAGGAAAAATGAACTTGAATAAAGTGCTACCCTCCAAAACCTTTACTCCTCTAGAAGCCATCAGAAATTCACCAATAAAGCGCTGTCATAACGTGCAATGCAATTAAATTTCGTAGACTTCTACAGAGTAGTTTATTGGAAGATCCCTCATCAAACAAGGTCCACAAACTTGAACTCATCATTTTGAAACATCTAAATCTGTTGGATTTACCAATTGCAGCAAATCGGATTCTTCTATCTGTTTGCTCTCGTAATACCACTGATATGGCAGCAATGCTTTATACAATGATGAGAAACTTGTAACCATCCATATGGTTCATTTTTTAATGGAAATAAGCTATTATGCATAAAGGCTATGCTTTTAGATTTTCTAAGCACCATAGATAAACCAACGTTCACCTACCACAATACCCAGTACTAGCCCTTCATTTTAGTGTTGAGCAACAGGGAAGTACCCACAAAAATAAGCACAAGAATCTCAAACACCAATTTCTTGGATTCATTAGCCTCTTTGGAGAAGACTAGACTCCTGACTACAAAATCCCTAGGGAACCCCGAAATACATAATCTAGAGCAACAGATGCATGACACTAAGCAGCAACTATAAATCAGGCCACACTTAAGATGGTGAACGTAGTGGACATATCTGTACCTTCAGCATAGTCTCATTTCATTGAGTTGCGCTCTTTCAGCTTTTATGGATTTAAAGAATCTAGCTTTCGGCATGCTATTTGTCATAACTGCAAACACTCACCATTTTTATCTTTATGTTTTCTTCAGCAATATCTCCAGCTAATGGAAGACAAATGAGAAACTTCAAAGACTCCACCGACAGCTTGCGGAGGAGTGCTCAGAAACTCTAATGGGGACTGAATAATGGGATTCAAAAGGAACCTTGGCTTCACCCAACAACAGCGGCACAAAATGCTGGCCATCCAGTCATATGGGGAAGTGTGTAAACATCATCCAAACTCACTAGAAGGAATAAACATACTGCTGAGGGATACAAGTATGGAACCCCACTAAGGGCAGGGACCGATGAAACCAGGGACCTTGTCCACTCTCACTGGGATGTGGAAACTATATATGCCCACAGAGAAACAATACACTACTGATTTCATGGCTCGCGAGGCCCATGATGAAAATTTTGACTTGATCTTGGCGCCAGGCATACCTTCCCTTAGGTTGCGTCTCTTTTGGCATTTGTTCTGGTCACTCTAGTTTTCCCATTTCTTTTCTTTTCTTTTCTCCAACCGCGAGGTTGCCACTTGTATTCCAAAATAAGAGGCCTCATATCAGTAGCAAACACAACAGAAGTCAAAATAAATCTTTTACTTGAACTGATCAAAAACCACTTTTAACAACGGAAAAGCTGCTGTGTAGTACAAATGTTCAAGCCTAAAATAAACAATCATATACTAACTATTTAAGAAACTTTACATTTATATAACTATGAAGTCATAACTGAAGTATTTCACCTTGTTTTATAATCTAATAAGGCTTTTAGAATCCTACGGCATATTCCTGTATTTAACAGAAAAACTAAGAACAAAAACATCGAGTCCTTCACTTTCTTACAATTTAGTTGGTACGGATAAAAAATCTGCATACTGCATGGTATGGTGTATCTGTAATGAACAAATAGTGAATAGGAAAATAAGAAAGTATTACAGCATTGCAAATTAACTCAAAAGTTTAAGTCCATTCAAATTTGGGGCATATAATATTCCATATAGCTAGAAAAGTAATGAATTGAGAGACTTATAGGTCCACTCGCTGACAATCATATTCTAACATATGATGATTTACCACTTCATCGATGTTAAGTATGAGCATCGGAGATTCAAAAACTCAAGAAAGAATCGCAAGTTTAAGATAGTTAACCTTGCCTTCTCTTGAAAACAAATGAAGGCGTCCTCTAGAACCTTTTTTTTTGGGGTAAATAACACGTTTATTAAATGAAAACAGAGGTTACAAACTGGAGGCCACCCTTCTAAAGAATAATTAGAAAGGCTGCCACATTGAGAGTAGGAATATAAACACTACCACATAAAAAACTCCCCTGCATAGGCAATGTCGTTGTTGAGCGGATCTTTGGCACACTTCCCAGTGAAGATCGATAATTTTTCCTGCAGTATTGAATAAATAGAATACATCCTATAGGTTTGGTGGCAGGATATGCAGAAGCAGAAATTATCCATTTAAGAGCTATTCTTAGCACAGCTTTGATGCCGCTTCCAGCAATCCCAGGGAGCTTGAGACGCCACTTGAAATGTCTGATGAGCCTTTTGTCTTGGAAGGCTTGAATTCAGATAAAGGAAGCATGTTCGGATTTTTTCCCCTATGGATTCTTAATGTCCAATCTTGAGACGAAGCTGATGTATGGCAGACTACACTTTGAGTATCTGATTCAAGGAGCATTGAAGAGCCAAAAAATGGGTGGAGATGTAATTGATGGTATATATGAGATAGAATTACAAAGATGGGATGGGGACTCCTTTTCTTCCACGGACTCTGAAGAATGATAATGATAATGATAGCTTTGAGAAGCTCTTCATTTGAGGCAGAAAGAAGTAGTATCATTTCCCTGAGCCACCAAAAAATATCATCAGGAACAAGTTCATCAGAGCACAAGGAGAGAAGACAAAACCAAATGACCCTAGCAAAGCTGCATTGACGAAACATATGATTAAGAGAATCTGGGGCATTACAGCTGAAGGCACGTGAGGAATCGTTGGAAGATGGTGAGAGATTAAAATATCTCCTGCTGGTAGGCATTTGTTACTTAACTTCTACGCAGAGAGAAGAAATTTTGGAGGAAGTTTGAGTTTCCAGAACAGATTCCAGGTTTGATCATTAGGTCCAAAATGAACATTTTCCTGAAAAATAAGGAGCAGCAAAAAAATTTTTGGCAGTGTTTTGTGAGTAGAGTTAATGAACACAAAAATTATACTTATCAGTTCACTAGAATAAACAATTATTAGGAAACTGTTGCAGCAAATATAACGTCTACCAATACAATACAAACTCCTAAACCCTTAGTTATGTTTGTATACCAAATAAATTCGATGTAAAATAACCTAATGAATTTTTTACATGGTCCATAATATTTTGAAAAGGGATTGACAGTTTAGATGATGAAATCCAAGGGAAAATTATTTTAGATACAACTTCAACAAAATATTACTTCATGAGCAACAACTGAGACACATATTAGAGTTAAAAAACTAAAAAAGATATCAACCGCAAAGGAAGAAGGAACAGATTCATGCTAATACTTAAGAGGGAAAAAGAATAAACAATGGGAGCAAACACAAAGTCCACATAGATATATTAAACGTATGCCTTGGGCGATACTTCTTCATCACCATTCAAGCCACCAGATAGTCCAACAATTTAAACCAAAAGGAAACATGCACTTGCTAACTACTAAATGATAACTTTGATATGTGTACAGCATGAATTAAAACTGGAGTGACTGACCTTGTTTATCGTATGAGAAGACCATTACTAATCATTTCATGAATAAACTTTTCTGCCTCCCCATTCTCACTTTTTTCCAAAAGAGCTTGCATGAGTATATTACATGTAATTTTATCAGGGAGACAGCCAATCTCTTTCATTTCTGGAAGCAATGCCATAGCTTCATCAAGCAAGCCTTCTCTACAAAGGCCATTGATCATAATGTTATAAGTGCAGACATTTAGAAGATGGCCTTTCATTGAAAGGTACTGAAAAATCTCTCGTGCAGTATTTAGTCTACCACCTTTACACAAACCATCAATAAGTATACTGAATGTGTATACACAAGGCCAAATTCCTCTGCCGACACCTTTCTTGATTAACGCAATCCCCATGTCAAGATTCTGGTTTTTGCAAAATGCATCTAATAAAATATTATAGGTGATTATATCAGGAGCATGACCATGGTCAAGCATATCCGAAAACAGATCCTGCGCAGCTAGCATTCTCCCTGATTTGGACAAACCATCAATAAGAGAACTGTAAATAACTTCATTGGGAACAATATTCTTGCGACGCATCTCTTCAAAGAAATCCATGGCTTCATCAACCATTTTAACCTTACATAATCCATTGATCAAGATTCCATAACAAACTACATCAGGAGTCCAGCCACTCTGAACCACCTTATTGAACACCTCCTTTGTCTCACTAATTTTATTCATCAAACAATAGCCATTCATTAAACTATTAAAAGTTACAATGTCAGGTCTCCCACCACATTTCATCATCATACCAAACACAGTTTCGGCTTCTATGATTCTTCCTTCTTTACCATATGCATCAACCAATATGTTATATGTATAAACATCAAATTTGATGTCTTGAAATGCCATCTCATGGAGAACTTGTGTGGCCTCTTGCCACTTGCCCGTGCTCAAGAAGCCATGAACAAGAGAGTTGTAAGTGATAAGATCTGGCAAGACCCCACGCTCAATCATTTGAAAATATAAATCATATGCCTCTGTTACATCTCCATCTTTACAAAGGCCATCAATGACTGTATTATACATGATTAAATTAGGCTTAATTACCCCTTTCTCCATCTGTTTGAGCAAGTTGATGGCGCACCTTGTTTTCCCAGTTTTATGTAACCCATTGATCAAGGTCCCATAACTCATTCCATCTAACTGAAATCCTTTGGCCCTTAGTATGTCAAGTAAGTCCAGCGCTTCCTCAATCTTTTTCCTAATACAAAGTCCTTTCATTAGGGATGTCCAAGTTATGGTATCCGGTTGAATACCCATCTTGAAAATCTTCCCTAATACTGAAAATGCCGAATGCATCTCACCCATCTGGCAGTAACAATTGATCAAGATGTTCAGGGTAACTAAATCAGGTGTGAATACCATGAGATCCACATGTGCCAAAAGTGAGATGGCAGTGCGATAACGTTTCGTCTTAGCAATCGATCCTAAAAGCTTATTAATTTGAAATATGGAAGGTAAAGGTCGCATATGGAGCAACTGATAAAATGAAGTGACGGCTTCGTCAACGTTATTTGCGTTTAGGGCTCGAGAAGAAGCAGAGAAATTGAGATGGAGGGAATTAGGGAAGGAGAGAAGGAAAGAAGATGGAAGAAAGGGATGAAGTCTGGAGAAGGCATACCCTGTAGCTGTGCGCAACATGTTAAGTAGTGAGATCCTCAAAGGCCGAGAAGATAGTTTCTTCCGACTGAGAAAAGGGCAGTTCTTTGCGATGTGCTTTCTGAAGATAGTCTCCGCCCCAGACCCTCAGGAAGCTTAGCCGGCGGAAATGAAGAAGCGAAGGAATCTTTTGATCACACCATCTGATAAAAGGGAAAATTAAAAAACGAATTCTTGACATCAATAACATTAAATTACTTAACATCTAATAAAACGTACTCCTCCGGTCCTAATTATAAGACTCAATTGACTTATTTGAGGAGATTAAGGAAGTAAGTTAAGTTGGTTATTTATAATAAATAAGTGTTGTCATTCCTAAAATATCCTTGCTAATTAAGTATATTGGCTAAAACTATTATTATTAGAAGGATTATCTTGGAAAAAAATACATAAATATAAGAGACAAAATGGATTGGGATCTTATAATTAGGATCAAATAAAAAGTCAAATGGGGTCTTATAATAAGGATCGGAGGAGTATATAGTTATTTATAAATCATACATTTATTATATATCATAATTAAAAGTTCACATTGAGGTCAAAAAATATAAATAACAATTCATGTTGTTATAATATTTTATTGAAAATTTCAATCATAAAAATATGAAAAATAGAAAAATTGCCAAAAGGTCTTCATTTCAATTATGCACAAATATTTTTTTTGTTTTGCACATAATTAAAAATATGCTGCACATGATTAAAGAAAAAAAAAATGCACTTACTACAAATAAGTTGTAATTTTTTTTAGCAATTTCTGCTATAAAAGTTGTGCATAAACCTTTTATTTTGGCACTATTAATTGTATGTATTAGTCGTTGCACAATTTAAAATCCTTCAGGTGTGTAGCTTTGTTGCCCTTCACTGGCTGTTTGAATGCGTAAAGCAAGCCTAGTACTGTGTAACTAACTTTTTTAGCCATAATGTATCAAAACTATTGTTCATTGGAGCTCTAACGCAATGTAATGAACACACAAGTTAAAGTTGCGTTTGGATGGATTTTTAGTAATTCTAATTACATATCTACATTTTTAGGTTTGACTGCACAAAGTATGTTTACGACAGCGTAAATAACTTCTGTTTACCCGTAATCCATCAATAACATTGTTTATTGGAGCCTCATGACAGCTCAATGAACACAAAAAACATTAAGTATCCTCCCTAAACTGTTCCTACTGTACAATAATTGCCACTGATTAGCAAGGTGGTAATAAAGTTATGAAGTAATACAGGAGCTAAAGTCCCAATTCTCCAAACAGAAAAAATAAGAGTACAAAATTTCCAGCCCCATGCACTGCCCTGCATTCACTTGCGGAAGAATGGTTAAATCACTTGTCGCTGTGATGCCGAGGTTAGAGGCCGATGGACTGAAGGAAAATTTTCCGATGCTTACAAGGCTGACAATTCTACTTCCTGAGAGCATGGCCGGTATGCCACAAAGGTGCTGTCAATTGAGAAGGAACCGGTATTAAAACAAGTGATTCCTGTGTATTTGAAGGCTTTTTGCTCACTTCTGTCTCCCAAAATTATCTGCATCGGAGGATAACAATGGAACAAACGTCTAGTCACTTTCCAGTATTTGAATTCAATGGAAATGCTCCTCTTTCTCGCAGACCATCCAGTTTATAACTTTATTTACTACACATGACCCACTTGTAGAAGGAAAAATCACTGTCACCCCACCCTTGTTTGGGCAATAACAAGAAAATTACCAGCTGTTAAGATTTACATATGAAATAAAACATCGTATTCCTTCGATTTTGGACCACTAAAGGTGCCTATAAATATCCTGTCGAATCGTAAGTTTGATCCACAACATTCCAAAGAGTTTGGAGGGTAATGAATTAAATATGTAAATTATCAACTGATAGAGTCAGAAAAAGGAGTATAGATGCGAAGTGGGGTGTTATCATCTACTCGCCAAAGTCATTTTTCAACAAACTGCAATTTGCAATTTCACCAAGGATAAGATAGACACAAGTAAATACATTGGAGATTCTAGCATTTAAGAACCACAAGTTCATGATAGCTAGCAATCCATTTTCCAAAAAGGCATCCCCAGAAAATTGAAGTACGATAACATCAACTTAGTTCGCAAAGCAACATTTGATATCGTTAAACAAGACTGGACTATTAGTACCGTATGTGGAGTGGGATAAAGATATAGGCAGTGATCATAGTTCCAGATGATGGGTTGTACTGTTAGAGGCAATGGACAGAGATGGCTCTGATGGGTTATGGTAGCAACAAGCTGCATTATTATAAATTCAAAATCTTGGGGTTAGTGGATGTTATCCAAAAAGTCAGTTTAATCAATGAAAAATGGTAGAAAACGCTCAGTAAAGGAATAAATTACATGCTGAAAGGGATCATCAGTTTCTTCCATAGAAGGTGGCATTAAACATGATCGGCGCATTCTATACAGCAAATCCTGGCGGAAAAATACAATCTCTTGAGTGTAAAATTTGATCCTGCGGCCACAAAATTCTTATGTAGTAAGAATACTCAAACGCTTTATCAGCTCCTATAGCAAGCACAAACATGCAAAGCTGCAGAAAACATCTCAAAAAAATCTAATTTAGACAAACACTAACCTGCAAGGATTGCTTGAAAATATGGCATTGGGAACATGCTTCCGGAGTTCCTCAGTTAAATATTTTGGCAGAGCACATCTAGGTAGAACTGTTGAAGGACCTGAAAAAACACGGCATAGTGATATGATGCAAGGAAAAAGAAGTAAGAGATACTTATTACAAATGAAATCAAATACCTGGATCATCAGGACCTGGGATGAACAAAAATCGACTTTTCTCTATTAGCCGTGGATGGGCAGCAATCGTTTCCCCTAGCTTACCAAACTGCAACCTGCAGGTAGATGCATATGACAAGTGTTATTCTCACGACAAATTAACATTTTTTACATAATTAATTAAGCCAAAGTAGTTAGGACTAATTGTTCTCTAAGTACAAGACCAATTCTACCGCATCACAGTTATGTGTTTCTAATTTGTTGCTTTTCCTATCATAGTTCACATGAAATAAAAAAATCAACCCAAAGCTGCACTCACCGGAGGTTTGAGTAAGAATGAAAAGAAAGGTTACATGGATGAGAAGAAAAGTTTCCCATGAAAACAAACAAGGAAGGGACCACTTCCACACTCTCAAAACCATCCAGGACAATCTTCAGCTTTCCCATAGCCTTCTCTACGGAGAAACAGCATCAAGATTATATGAAGCCACTTCTAAAAAGCAAGGTGATAAAGGACATAAAAGAAAAGAGAAGATATTGAAGATTCCAATCACCTCTTCACTGTCTAGCCAGATATCAGACACTATAACAAACATGTCATTGACTGCTCTCTTTTCCATCTCTGCTAGTCTGATCTATTGAAATGGTATAGGTCAAGTACAAATTCATTGGTGAATCTAACAGATGCTAGGCAGAACATTAGGAAAGGAATAAATATCAGTGGCAACCAAGTGAGGATAAGGTGAGTAGTGAGTTCAGGATACAGTTTCCTCTTTAGTATAAGTGCCACCTCCAAAAAAGTCATGTCCCCCGCTTAATTTTAGTGACTTGCCTCTATCCTCCAATGGGGGGAATCCACATGTTAAGACCTGATAAAAAAGGAGAATATGCCCATAATTCAAAACTCAAAATGACAATATTAATGAATTCTTCAAGGAAAAGTATGACGATGCAAATGCAATCATTATTAAATGAACTTGAACACTCCAAATGACTTAACGTTGCCCATTAGCTATGAGTCCAATACGCATTCATGATTTCAGCCTTATTTTTTAAGGTCATGCACTACAGTTGTACTGGGAAGAGATATTGCGAAGGGCAACCAGAAGCTGTACAGGGTCTGTAGTGATTCTTCATCTTAAATACATTTGAGGGCTGAATAAAAGCTTATACAAAACCAAATAATTGGTTTAACAAATATTGTGAAATAAAGGACAAGTAAAGCTGCTGAAGAAGGACATGTAAGCAACCTGAAAGACACCGCTCACCAGCATCTCACCTTCTGCCACAATTATGGTGTTCTCTGTAAAGAATCCTGTAGTTATCTTGTATTGATTGTCAAAGAAACTAATACTGCTACACAATCCTTTTAGTGGAGTATTGAATTGTTGTGCAAGTTTCAGCGTAAGAAAAGATAAAAGATTATGAATATACATAATTCCATCTCGATCGCCTGTTACCAAAGTTCTCCAATCACTTAGCACAATCTAACAATACATAAGCTACACTCACTCTTTGGATCGACCAATATAAAGCGGGTTATCAAACGTTAATGTTCCTCAACCATGTCAGTCAAGTGTCAAGAACTAGAGAGTAACAAGAATTGAATTGGGAAATGAAATAGGGAAAAACATTGATTGGGAGAGTGAGAAAAACGCTCATGTTCTTATTTTAAAAAAAGTGACAAAAGGAGAGGATAAAAATTATTGAGTAATATCTGCAAATGTAAAAATAGATATTGCAAAAAGGAAAAGGAAAAAGATCCCATTCCCCCCTTAGTAACAAATGGGATATTTATGCAACAATTTAATTCACTGAAGTAGGACGCAATTTAAACTATCAATTGTAATATTTTGCTCCCAAGAAAACCTACTTAATGTACTTTAAGCAATTATAGAGCTCTTCCAATAAAGTACCATTCTCAAATAACAAAAGGATATAGCAGTAGATAAATTGATTTCAACCGAAGCAGTTAGGTCTTCTAAATAAAAATGCCCATCCTCCAGCTGTGATATCACTCCCATGATCCATCTTCTACCAGTTTGCCCAACCAGAGATTGGATGGGAGATATCTGCCAAACACAGCATTGCATTTTAAGATCATATTTATCCTCTCTAAGAACATATTCACCATGTTAAATGCATCAAAGACAGTTGTCACATTTTTACAAAAGTAAAGAGTCCCTGGAAATTATACCCAGTTGGTGCATCGAGTAATACCTCACAGCTTCCAAAATACGAAGACTCAGAATCAAAAGCAGGCTTTGCAAAATGCTGGTCACGAGAGAGCCTCTGGAACAGCAACAGAAATCTGTCCCTGTACAGAGCCGCTTTTGCCGATGCTTCCCCATGAATAGGTAAGCTGTTTGTATGCCTAGAATAAAAGACATGAGTCACAATACATTAAGCATTGGCCTAAACTTTGACTTATGATATACAAGTCTTATCGCAATCCTCAAACTTCTTTATAGCATGCTTTTATCGGATCATTTATACAGTTAAGAGTCCCGATCAGAGTCACAGGCTTTGAAATTAAGTCCAGTTCAATAGTCTTCGTAGATAAGGCATTGAAATTCCCAGCAATTCTTCAGCACAAAAAGTAAATTATTTAACAGAAACCACCCAGAATGGGACCTACTCGTAGAATTGCTTTTTGATAGGGTCGTATCGAAATTTAGGGACTAAGAATGCATCGACGACACGAAAGACTGAACCAATGCCAACAGCATCAGAGCTCTCCTCAACCGCTGCTTCCGCTTCTAACAGCAGGCTCACCACACGATGCACCGGTTCTTTGTCGATTATTGTAGATTTCACTGCCATTTCGAAGAAATTAGAAGCGGAAAGGATTAGTTGGGGGCTGAAATCGAAAACACAAGTAGAAAACTTTCAATATTAAAGCTCACATGATTCGTGTTCGAGCTGATCGAGGAGGAGATCGATAGCTTCATCTTCATCAGCGGCATCAAATCGACTTACGAAGGAAAGGATCTCATCAAGAGCGTCTACTTTGAGAGTGTAGCCTCTGATCTTACACTTACGCTGAACCTTCTTCCTCGTCGTCGATGCGCTCATCTCTCTGTCTCTGTCTCTCTCTCTGTCTGTCTGTGTGTGTGTGTGTCTGCGGACTGGAGGATTCGGCGGGAAAAATCTATTTTGCCGAGAGACCAGTGGCGGGAAGAATGATGGAAAAGGGCAATCCCGCCCCGTATTGGAACTCGGGAACGAATTTCGAGATCCGGCCGTTCATTTTTTGTACGGTTACAATTCCACAAGTACTTTTTGAAAAAATTATAAAGAAAGACTCCTAATATGTAAAATTACGCTTTAGGATTCTAAACTTAAAAAATAGCAAATAAAGACAGAGTTTCACTTTTGTAAATATGAAATGTGAATGAAATATCTAAAATGTCCCTCAATTAAATTGTGATTTGGTTTACTGAAGTTGTCATTCGCTAAAGTGAACTTATAATTTCCAATAGTCAACTCGTTATTTGACATACTCTCAGCCAAGTTGTGATTTGATCTACTGAAATTATCGCTCACTAAAATGAACTTGTCATTTTTTATAGTCAACTTGTCATTTAGTTGAGAGGTATTTTAGAAATTCATCACGATTTTATATTTATAAAAGTAAGATCGGGTATTTTTTACTATTTTTCAAATTAAGAATCTCAAATCATAATTTTACATATTAGGAGATCTTTGTTTGCAATTTTTTCTATTTTTTTCTTCATTGATGATTAATGCAACAATTAAAAAAAAAAAAGTCATTTAAAAATTTACTTCCTGCGGATTCGTGCGAGCCGGGTGGGGGCAATGGAGTTATATTGTAGGTTCGGCCTCCACCCGCTTCAAAGTTACCATTTTTAATCAATTTTTACAATCGCATTGCTTTTTCTTCCCCTTCGTTCGACCATGTCGTAGTTCTTGATTCATGTAAACAAGAAGAGATCAAATTATACCCCTGCTACTGCTGAATTCTTCCTTCCTGTAGTTCTTACTAAAGCGTTCGCTGAGAATAAAAAGCAGTTCTCAGTGAAGAATAATAAAAACTTCCCATATGTTTTATAGCATATACCAAACCGTCCTCAACTGCGTCAGTTCAGCCTCTGCTTCTCTATCGCAGGTCCGACAGGCTCACGCTCACATTCTCAAAGCTGGACTCTTTGGCAATGTCCAGCTTACGACCAGGCTCCTTTCTGTCTATGCTAATAATCTATGCTTTTACGATGTCAATCTTGTCCTCGATTCTATTCCCGAACCGGATTTGTTTTCCTTCTCCACTCTCATTCATGCTTTTGCGAAATTGAATCATTTTGACCATGTGTTGCGTGTATTCTCTCAAATGTTGTCTCGGGGTTTGGTGCCGGATAGTTATGTCCTTCCTAGCGCCATAAAGGCTTGCGCTGGACTACAGGCTCTGAAAGCAGGGCGACAGGTTCATGGGGCTGCTTATGTATCGGGCTTGGCTTCGGATTCAATAGTAGAATCATCTTTAGTGCATATGTATTTGAAATGTCACCAGATTGGAGATGCACAGATATTGTTTGATAGAATGCCTGAGAAAGACGTTGTTATTTGGAGTGCTATGATTGCTGGCTGCTCTCGTCAGGGACTTGGGGACAAGGCGAAGGAACTATTTTATGAGATGAGAAATAAGGGCGTGGGACCAAATTTGGTGTCATGGAATGGTATGATAGCTGGGCTCTGTAATAGCGGGTCACATGTTGAGGGGTTGATGTTTTTTCAAATGATGTTCTCTGAAGGCTTTCGCCCGGATGGCTCTACTATCTCCTGTGTTCTTCCTGCTGTAGGACACTTGGAGGACTTGACAATGGGCACCCAGGTTCATGGTTATGTGAACAAACAGGGCATTGGATCAGACAAGTTTGTGGTCAGTGCGCTTATAGACATGTATGGAAGATGTGCCTGTGCACTCGAGATGTCACAGTTGTTTGATGAATCTGACCAGACGGAAATAGGTTTGTGCAATGCTTTTCTTACAGGGTTGTCACGTAATGGTCTTGTTGACACTGCATTGGAGGTATTCAGGCGATTCAAAGCCCAAGGAATGGGATTGAATGTTGTGACATGGACATCAATGATAGCAAGTTGCTCCCAGAATGGGAAAGACTTGGAAGCCTTGGAGTTCTTTAGAGAGATGCAGGAATCAGGCTTGGAGCCTAACTTTATCACAATCCCAAGCCTGATTCCTGCTTGTGGAAATATTGCAGCATTGACGCACGGAAAGGCAATCCATTGCTTCTCTATCAGAAAAGGAATAGTTGACGATGTATATGTAGGTAGTGCTCTAATAGATATGTATGCCAAGTGTGGAAGGATCCGGTTATCTCGGCGTTGTTTTGATAGAATGCCAGCCAGAAATTTGGTTTCTTGGAATGCGATAATGAGAGGATATGCTATGCATGGAAATGCGAGGGAAACAATAGAGATGTTTCATATGATGCAGCAGAGTGGCCAGACATCTGACGTTATTACCTTCATTTGCCTGTTATCTGCCTGCAGCCAGAATGGCTTAACAGAAGAAGGATGGCATTATTTTAACAGCATGTCCACTGAACATGGCGTTGAAGCCAAATTGGAGCATTATGCATGCATGGTGACACTGCTAAGTCGTGTAGGAAAACTTGAAGAAGCTTATTCTCTTATCAAGAAAATGCCATTTCAACCCGATGCTTGTATTTGGGGAGCATTGTTAAGCTCTTGCAAAGTTCACCATAACCTGAGGTTAGGTGAGATTGCTGCAAAGAAGCTTTTTGAGTTGGAACCAGACAATCCTGGGAGTTATATTCTTCTGTCCAATATCTATGCCTCAAAGGGTATGTGGGGTGAGGTGAATAGAATACGAGGTGTGATGAAGAGTATGGGACTTAGGAAAAACCCGGGCTGCAGTTGGATTGAGTTAGGACGCAGAGTTCATATGCTTCTAGCTGGGGACAACTCACATCCACAAATGGGACTGATCCTGGAAAAGTTGGATAAACTGAATATTGAAATGAATAAGTTTGGCTACTATCCTGATACTAATAATGTTCTGCAAGATGTTGAAGAGCAAGATAAGGCACAGATATTGTGTGGGCACAGCGAGAAGTTGGCTGTAGTATTAGGATTACTGAACACAAGTCCTGGGCAACCTCTTCAAGTGATTAAGAACCTGCGAATCTGTGATGACTGCCATGCTGTTATAAAATTCATATCCAGCTTTGAACAAAGGGAAATATATGTCAGAGATACAAATCGTTTTCATCATTTCAAAGATGGTATTTGCTCATGTGGGGAACATTGGTGAATTATTTTTGGTTAGCCTTTGAATTCCTCTCCAAGAGGAGTTCATTCTGTGCCATTGGTTCTTTCGGCTGATCAACAAACAGAAGCACATTAACCATGATGACGTGTGCTTACATTAAGTTAACTCGATCGATTAACATCTTCAGAATAAGGATTTGTGTATCATATTTTTGTTACTTTATAAAATGCTAAATCCTTTCCAATTTTTAGTACTCGTATTGTTTGGCTAGAATGTAGAAACTTATGCAAAAATCAAAATATCCAAAATATATTACACTTGGATGACAATTGTTCGATAAAAATTGTATTTTTTTAATTAATTTTTTAATCCAGGAATGGGAGATGCAATTTTAAGTCCAAAGTCGTTTTTTCAATATGTTTTCTTTTTTATTCCATGCTATTCTCTATTTTTATTTTATTTCATTTGATGTATCAAATAGGCCTAGCGTTTACTTGCCTAAGTTTCATTAAACACCAAAATATCATGAAGTTGAAACAACTTTGTTTATTAAAATTTATCCTGTTACTGCATATTGCAAGTTTCACGAATTAAAGGACGATGTCACAGAAAGAAATAGCCAAAAAGTTTTTATGTTTCCAACTACTTGAAAAATGAAACGCACACGCACACCCTTCCACATCTGGGTGTTCCTCTGGCCTTCCCAGAAATTGAAATGCCTTTGGTGGAAAGAACAAGTACCATTTTCTTGATGGGTTTATATGAGGCTAGAAATCATAGAAATAAAATAAAATAAAAGGCTTGCAATAAATTACAATTCAAAAAATCGCATAAGAAACTACACACAAATTCTCTTTTTCTTTTTCCCTTTCTTTGGTAGTATCTGTCTCATTCAGCTGAGTTAGTGGCTATCATAGTCAGTCCTTGAAAATGCCAAAGTTCTCTGGTGATCTCATCCAAAAGTCCATTAAGAAGATGCTTTTCCATGTTTCTTATAGCCTCATATGTTTCAATAAAGGCAAACGTATCATCATTCCAACCCAACTCCCACATACAGTCGATATCTGGATCCTTATTGTACACGTCATTTTCTAGCATTTTAGGAAGGTAGTCCTCAATTTCAACTTGGGAAATCCTGCTTCTTCCGTATAATGTTAGCTTCTCTATGTCTTCATTCAGCTGCCTAACCAAGTCATCTAAGGATCTAATTCTAATGGTACTGGTTGATGCCTTTGAGCAAGGATGAACTTTGAACTCTTGTCTTATCCCTTTTCGTTTCATGACTTCATATCCACAGTCTAACATGAGTTTGCTGCTTAAGTCTTGATTATCCCAACCACTGCCAAGGGGAGTGCTATATGGCATGTCAAATCTGAAAATTGTTTCTGCAGTGTTGAGGAATAACTGACTCTTGATCAAGTTCCACTTTAGACGGTTTTCGCTTTCTGTGAGTGGTTTAGGGCAAAAAATCTTGCCTTGCACTTGTACGTGAGAGTTCATGCTCATCCTGTCTTCATGCATTCCTGTATATTAAAAATGTTAACTAAAATCTGTAAATTTGCTTTGACATTATTTTATACCGAAAATCATGGTAACCAAAAAAAGAAAAAAGGGTCAATGTCATGAGACAGAAAAAGTAGTAAATAAATGAGATACGTAATCTCTGGATTTGTGTAATATATGAGCATAGTAATTGAGGCTTTTCCCTCCGTTTGTGGGCCACCGTTCCGCTCTGATGAGCAGGAAGGAAAATAATAATTTGTGGATGCTGTGAAAAGTATAATGACCTCACGGAATATGAATGAAGATAGTGAATGACAGCTAACCCAAAATTACTGTCATTCCTTAACATGCACTATAACTGGAGGTACTGTGATATTCATGAAAGAGAAGTTTCACTGAAATTCAGAGTTATACTCACCATTCATGGTGCATGGTGCAATTTGGCCTGACTCCAATCCTTCATCTGCTGTCACAAGAGCAGCTTGATCTTGCAAATCTCTGATTGTCACTGACTTCACGCCTTGATGCTGCAAAATATACAACAAGGATTTGGAAGAAAGGTTATCAGTACTTGAGTTATATATATTTATATACTTGCTTTGCTCCCATGAGACAATTAATGCTTACCAAATAGTTGGAAATTAAAGCTTCTGATTCCTGTGAGCATCTCACTTCCGATGGTTCAGTGGTAGCTACTGGTCTATTGGAGCTAATGATACATGTGTCTGCTTCTTTGGAGGAGCCCACCCTTTCTTGCTCAGCTTCTTTTGAGACATTAAACTTGTCAGATGTTCTTTGCATCACTTGTTGCATAATGGGACTCTGTTGCTTTATTTGTTTCGGGATTTGGAGAATTTTTCCATTTCTTCGGGTCAGCACCTCATCAATCTTTCCTGGCATATCACTTTTATGCTTTTTAGTATTCTTTACCTTCTTGTCAGCTATTTTGTGGACACTTCTTTCAACCATCACTTTCAGGACGCCCTGCCTTCCCTTGACTTGATCTCTTGGAGAGGAAAGCTGAGTTGACTCCTTATTCATCTCGTTGATTTGCATATGTAAGCCATTGGAGACTTCATCTCTGACTAGATTATCATAGTAGCTAATTGAAGACCGGTCCGAATTCACAGCACCGGAATTTTCTGCTAAATTGTGCTCAAGTGATACAACATGGTTTACGAATAGCTGCTTCTTCTGAGAACTGAACAACTCATGCGGGGGTTTGGATAAATTACTGGATGGAGGTTCACTCCCTCTTTGTGATCTTCCCTTTAACATTTGCTTTTCACTCAGCTGGGGCCGCTGTTCTTTATTATGCTTCTCTTCCCGAGGCCCGTACTTCAAGACCAAGCTTGACTCCTGAATTCCAAGATGATTCTGAGACATTTCTTGATTTGCTAAGATGTGCATGTTTGTGTGTCTCTTTTCAGATTGATGAAGGCTTCCATTGGTTTCCTTTTGCTCCTGCAATAAAGATTTAACTTCCGATCTTCGATTCACTTGTTCCATCTGATTCAGCATGTTATTTAGAACTAGATCATTGGTTCTGCCTTTCACTGTGCCTTTCTGTTCTCTGTTAGTTGTGTGATCCTGTCTTCTTCCTTTCTCCTGAACCCCTATTCGACTCTCTCTGATAAAATTGACCCTCATAGTACTGTCATTTTGCTTGTTCTTTTTTATGCTGCCCGTATCTGAGCTTTTCAATGATTTTATTCCATTATCAGCGACCGCCCCAGATTTGGCCTTCCGCATATTCAAACTTTTATCAACACCAAGCTCCTTATGCTGGGTTGCAGGCATGGTAGAAGCTTCTATCACTTTTTGCTTTTTCTGGGGTAACAAATTCTCTGTTTGTCTGCTCTTCAGTTCCATCTTCTTCTCACTTCCTTTTGAAGTATGCTTGAATGTCATTCCTTCTATCTTTTGTGCAGAACTGGAATCCCTCTGTTGGGTGTATTTCCCTTCCACTTTCTCTGGCGGATTATCCAAACCCATCAGCTTGGCTATTACATTTGGTATCATACTCATGTCTGGATCAGATTGCACTGAGGCCAACTGATTATTTTGTTCAGAAAGAGCATTGAGACTCTTCATGTTAGAGCCATAGCTAGATGATCGCTTATGATGAGGAAGCAATTTAGATGTGTTGACATCTTGCTTTCCGTTATTTAATTTTTTTCCTTTGGAGTAATTTGTCTGCATGAGACTTGTGTTTTGATTTCCTTGAAGGTTTTGAGAGTGTTTAGGGCGCTTGTCAAAGGAGAAAACTGGTGGTGCCAGTTGCTTTTGCTCCGAAGTGTTGGTTTTTTCATCATCTTCATTACCATCATCATCATCATCCTCTAATAATATGATCCGAGTTTTCTTCTGTGGCGTCACGATGAACTCTGAATTTTTCTGCTGGTTTACTATGATCCTGAGGGACTCCTCCAAATTTATAGCACCTTGCAATAATTCCTTTGCAAATTCTATTGACTGTCTATCTATGGTAAGACCATTGGAGTTGGAGGCACTTAATATCTGGTTTAATTTCTGTGCACCTTTGTATATCTCATTTATCTGCACAGGAGAGAGAGCAGGGAACTGACTAGCTGAAGCTAATTCTCGACCCGAATTGCCTCGTCGTTCCATCTTGCCAAAGCTCAATGTTCCCTTTTTAAGCTGGCTAAAGAAACTCATGATTGAACCAGTGAAAGAATCAGTTCCTCTTATTTTCCCTCCATTCTCAAATGGAAAAGCCAGGGCTAAGGACATATCACCACTTTGCTCCAACCTCTGAACTGTCCCATATGGAACAATCTGATTTGAAACTTCTCCGGTTTTTGTTGATCTATGGCTTCTGCTGGCCCTATTTGGCATGTTCCCAGTTCTGGAACTAACCTGCAGCGCATGAAAGAAATCTCAGTGACAGTTTCATAATATTTGCTTTCATGGACACAGAAAGTATCATAGCATACTTACACTTTCGCTTCCTTTATAACTCCTGGATCCCCTTTGCGTTTGCTTGGAATATGCATATGCATCTGCATGAGCATGTTTGGCACAATTAGATCACATGGGGTTTATTACATGCAAGGGAGAAAATATGTTCACTTCCTTCGTGTATGTGCAAGGATGTTAATTAGTTGCCAAAGTTTGACGTTAAAGCTGATTGTAAATAATGAATTGTGGTTGTCTACAGTAAATAAATTATTGCCTATAGTGACATGGAAAGATGAAAAGAAGATAAAGAATGAGCGTTTTTTAAAAAAAAACATAAATAAAGTGGATCCCATATATATTCTCATCTTTTGTGCCACTCTCTCTTACCATATTATGGTAGTATTACAAAGGATCCCAAACTCGTACGGTTATAGCTCTCTTTTACTGGGTTTTCTTGGAATTCTTTTTAAGAATTTGAATCTAAGGGGCGCTGATTTTGTCTTCGACTAAATACAATAAACTTTCTTGCTGAGTAGCTAGAAGGGGACTCCTGAACTGTTCAACTTGTTTCTTGCTAATAGTAAATTGCAGGAAAAACAATCCTAATACAAAAAAAATATTTGAAGACAAAAAGAAGCAAGCGATCCCCATCCCATCTGGAGACAAGAAAATCTGGAATCATACTGAATAAGTTAATAATATCAATACATCTGTTCAAAATTTGATTTCCAGATTCCAAAATAGTCTAACAAATGGGGAAAACGTCAAAAGATTTATATATTTTTAAATTCCATCCTACAAGGATGTTATTATTTATATATCTCATGCTGAGATGTTTCATATACAGATTAGAATACTCAATTATGCATGATATTTCATATGTAGATTAGAATACTCAATTACGTGCTTTCTGCCTGAATACAACGCATTGCATCATTAACACAGGTCTAAATGAAGAGTCATACACAATTCTGTTCCAGCTCCACTGGGCAAAAGAAGTGGTATTTCACAGACTCGAAAGAAAGAAAGAAGAAAAGAAAGTGAGAATCACCAGCCACAATGAACTTACCTACAGGAGGCTGTTTGGATTGGCTTGATTTCTGAGATGCATTCATTCGTTCTTTCCTTAAACGCAAATCATCAAGCAGTTTCTGTGCAAAATCTGATCTCTTGGCCATCTTCTTCTGGTTGAAACTAGAGCCGTTTGCCTTCTGACACTGCAAGCTTTGCAATATGGAAGAATGGATTGCTTTACAATGTGTGTGGCTTACATTTTTCAGGTACGAAAAAGAAGGGAATGTTCTGCTTCTTTAATGGGTAAGAGGGTGCTATCAGAGTTGGGTGAAGTGTTAATTCTGTCATCAAGAAGCAAACACAATGGGGTGAGGTTTCTGTGAGTTTGAAAATCATGTGTATCCTAAAATTCTATCATGATATAAATTCTTTTCTCAAATGGGTAAGACTTTATTCTTTCAATTAACTACAGGCAAAAGGGATGCCTCTTGTGTAAGGTCTCAAATGGATAGAAAAATCCATGCTAAAAGAGTTACTCCCATTTTAGTTTGGATTTAACAATACTCAAATCTAAATTTGATTTACTGTGGCACATTTGGGTGAGGGGCAATAACACCCCTAACCTAAGGAAAATCACGAAAAGTTTTTATATTGTGTACTCACAATAATTATAATTTTGAACCTCAACAATTTGTATGTCAAGAAAATCTCAATATTTGAAGCTCATTTGTTTCTCACTTATCGGAGAGGTCAAAATATGATTTGATAATGAGATCTTATTCAAGAGAAACAGTGCAGTCATTCAGGGGAAAAAAGAAGGGGAACCATTTTCATGCATTCATTATTCTTTCATTTAAGCAATCACGCCAGCTTAATTGAAAAAGCAAATGCCTTCTTAGAAAGCAATTAAGTTCTGCTTTGATGTTGTTCATATAATTTTTTATACCCTTTTTTATGTCGGATCTGGCATAATCTTCTTTAACATCTCTTTCTTTCTTTGAAGGAGATGCTTCAAGATTTAGTCGACTTGCATATTCTGTTTTTCTTTTATTTCGAGTCTTTTACTCTAACTCGAGATATTTTTCTGTATTCACACGACAATCTCAACAAACCTGTATTCACACGTTCATTAACTGCCTCATAAATTCTTGCCAAGTGATGAAAATTTTTTTTGTTGCATTGAAGTCTCGGGTGCTTTTTTTTTTTCATATCGATACCAAATGATTGTCATAAAAGAGAACTAAATCAGAATTAATGGGAAAAGTGAAACTGTGTGAAGTTGGGGTGTGAATTTGTGTGACAAAGGATGGGTGTGTATGAAAATGATGGGTGTGTACTGCCAAATGAGTCTCAGTCACTGAGTGCGTGGAAGTGGGTATAAGCATCTAACTTTTATTGTAATGCAAGCAATGACTAAGACTTGAAGTTGAGCTTCCTCCCTAAGCTTTTCCTTCTTTTTCCCTCTTCTGTGAATATATTCCCTCAAAAAACTATTCCTTGGCCCTCACATTCCACTCAGCTCCAATTCCTCAAGAATTTATAATCTCATACAGAGAGACACAAATATATACATATATATATTTATATGTATGTATATACTACCTCCGGTCCTTAATATAAGACTTTGTTTGATTTTTATTTTGGTTCTAAATATAAGACTCCAATTCATTTTGTCTCTCATATTTATGCATTTTTTCCCAATATACTCCTTCCAGCAATAGTAATTCTAGCCAATATACTTGATTAGTAAGGATATTTTAGGAAAAATAACACCTATTTATTATACCAGAGGTGGTATATTGCAAAAGCTAAATACTCTTTATTCATGTGTCCACACATTCCCAAAAGCAATAATATCCTAGAGCGTAATTATGCATGGGGCTTAAATTTTATCATTTCACTCATCATTGTCTCTTTTCTCTGTTTTTCCGCAGATGTTCTGTGTGTGTGTGTATGAATTTAAAGGATATAAACCCAATGATTTCATGTATATTCCTAGATACTCCTCATGTTGTAAATATAGGACATAGGATCTAGTTTGACAGCAAATTTTGATGTTAACACGAATGAGTTTAATTTATTTTATCTATCATACTTATCACCTTTTTTAAACTAATTGATGTAAATTTGAAGGACAATTTCGCCGCTTTGTGTAAAATTAGTTAGGTTGAGAAATACCTAAAAGAAAATGATCAAATGAAAGAGGCTGCAACGTGTTTTCAAGGCCAAAAATACAACATGCAAAATGACCAAATTGTCCTTCAGATTTATATCACTAGTTTTCCTAACTTATACTCCTCCGATCCTTAATATAAGACCCATTTAACTAATTTGATTACATTAAGGAAGTTAGATAAGTTAGTTAATTACAAAAAATGTGACACTTTTTTCCTAAAATACCATAATTATCTTTCTTAATACCTCATCTTCCTCTCCTACTTGATTATGGTTGAGGAAGTATCTATAAGGATAATTTAGAGAAAATTGATAAATATAAGAAATGGTTCTTACATTTAGAACCAAAACCAACTCAATAATTGGGTCTTATATTAAGGACCGGAGGAGTAAAATAATATATGAACTAATGTTTTAAAAGATTATGTTAGAAGAATTATGTTACACATAATTAAGTAATCTAACTAACTTCTTTATTCTACCTAAATTAGATAAATAATTAGTACATCAAGGATTGGACGGGTGATTCTCAAATTTTGGCTTCATTTTAAATATGAGGTCTTGTTCTCTTATCTCCTATATTAAATTTTTTTAATAATACTTCTATTTATTGTAGCATTTGTTTATCGTATGATTTTTTTGCCAACTACTTATTGTATAATATGGTCCTTCCGTGATTATTATTCTCTGCCAACATGAACATCCCAACTAACCGTTGTTACCCATGCGGTACCTTGAATTTGGTGGAGGAGATTATTGTAATGGGCATTTTTCTTTTGTTATCTTAAAAATGCATTAATTTTTCAAATTTTCTGCCAAAAAAATATAATTTGATTGCTAGCCTCAGAAGTTGGGAGTCAAATCAGAGCTTTGATGAAGTTGCCGCAGCATAATCACAATGGCGACTCATATGGTTCAAGTAGGTGTCACACTATATTTTCGGTTTATTAATAAAACCAAAATAATTCCCAGATTATATAATTTTATATTAAGGATTGAAATAATACCTCCGGTCTAATTATAAGAGATAGTTGACTAATTTGAAGAGATTAAGAAAGTAAGTTGAGTCAGTTATTTGTCTTAAATAGATTGTTTTTCTTAAAATATCATTACTAATCAAGTGTATTGGTTAGAATTACCATTGTTAAAAGGACTATTTTAGAAGAAAAAATATATAAATATGAGAGACAAAGTGGGTTGGAGTCTTATATTTAGTACCAAAATAAAAGTCAAATAAGGTCTTATATTAAAGATCGGAGGTAGTAGTATAAGAGAAAATTTGAAAGAGAGATGGAAATACAAAAATAAGAATCATATGCTCGGAGAAATTGACACCATAAAAATAGAGGTACACTCAATTTTTTTTTAAGAAAAATATATTTCTTCCGCCTAATCATTTGATTTATCTGTTTTTTTTTTTTTTCGTTTAGGACATGTACTAGGAAAGAACGTAATTTTCAATATATACAAGCCATGAAGAAAGTGAGACATTGGTAATAGAAATATAGAGTACATATATATAGTTCACTTATTTTTGTATTAATTTTTATGTTTTTATCATCTTTAATACACTCATTTACTAAATACAGGTAATTCAAATTCAAAATGGATGATTTCATCAAGTTTAAAAAATAATAAAATCGTACAAGTCTCTCACTTATAGGAATCACACAACTTATTCTACAGCTCACTTGAATCTCCAGAAACAGTTTTGTGGGTCTATAGTCACGGCAGCAGTTTCAGAATCTAGTTCTGTATGTCTTTATAACATAAACCAATTTTTTTAAAAAGAAGATTCCGGTTAACATAAATTTTGGTCCTTCAAGTTTATTTTTATTTTAGTTTTAATATCTAAAATTTCAAATCATAGATTTTAGTCTCTCGAGTTTCTTTTCATTTAAAATATCGGTCCTTTAATCTAACAAAAAATTAGCCTATTTTACCATTTGAGGAATCAAAACCTATAGTTTGAAACTTAAAAAACTAAAATTAAAATGAAAGCAAAATTGATAGACCAAAAATTATAATAACCCTAAAAATTAAGAAACCCATTCCTTAACACAATGCATGAAACTAACTTCTTGCTTCTGTAACCCATACATTTTGTCGGGAGAAAAAAAACTCAGATTTTATAAGAGTTTTTACCAGCCTATCCTTGAAATTGTAGCTTTGTCCACGGTCTAACCTGTATGCCTTTTTTTGGGTACGGTTTTCCCTTTTTTTTGGGACTTCAACTTTTTTTTTTGGCTAAAGCATAGGTATCCTCCTATTATATGCAATTCTAATTCCTATTGAGGTACTGTCAAGCACTAAATGTGAGCACCTCTCCCAGTGAGAATTCGAATCTTAATTTGTCACGTTGTGAAGAACTAGCCTCTTCTGCTAAACCCAACTCTTATTAGTAGGACTTCAACTTTGTTTACGTTTAGGTTTGCTTTGTTCGACCCATGGGCCTAATATGGTTTATTTGAAATGGCCTTTGACATTCCTGGGAAGCTCCTATTTCATCGTCATCGGCCCAGCCTGTCAGATACCCACCTGTTTTTCTTCTTTCGTTATGGGAGATAAACACATGTTCTATCTTATTCTATTCACGAAGAACGGAATATAAATAATTAATTAAAAATGAGTGGGATTAATATCAACACAAAATATTCAAAAAAAAATAAGGAGCCACTGTTGAAAGGTTGAATATATAGATTTATTTAAATTTATCAGATAATTTTATTAAATTATACTGTTGAGAAGATGTCAAATATTGCACTTTTTTTTTTTTAAACCCTAAACGAGACCATTAACACGAAGAAACGCCCCCTCCCCTCCCCTTGAGTAAGGAAGGGAGATTGGCGTCGAAGTCCCAATGATGAGACAGGCTAGCTCCTAAAATTTGGTAGGACTCCCCCATAAGTAGGTTAGCCCCACAACTCGAAATTGGAAGAGAAAATGAGAACCCTTATATTATACTCCTCCGGTCCTTAATATAAAACCCATTTAACTAATTTGATTAGATCAAGAAAGTTAGGTAAATTGGTTAATTATAAAAAAAAGTGACACATTTTTCTTAAAACACCATAATCATCTTTCTTAATACCCCATCTCCCTCTTCTATTTGATTATGGTTGAGAGAGTATCCATAGGGGTAATTTAGATAAAATTAATAAATATGAGAAATGGGTCTTATATTAGGACCAAAACCAACTCACAATTGGGTCCTATATTAAGGATCGGAGGAG